CCCCCCGCAGCAACACTATATCCACCAGTTAAAGGAAATACAACTAATGTGTTGTGTTATATTAGCTATACAATTGACCACATATGGTGTTCTTAGTTTCCATACCTCCTGTGTTTTACGAGCGACTTATCAAGTCTTGGCAAACGGCATAAAACACGATTAAACGTGATAGTATATAAAACCATGCTCGTATCTACAACCTATAGAAATGCAACACGGCGTCAGTTTAGACGTAATTCTGTCCTCCTGCTTACCGCATCATTTATGAGAAAACATTTCATAACATTATCACAACATATTGGAGGTGGTTTTAAATAACATATCCGTATTTTTTTATTTCTCCAAGTTATGTTTTTGTGTGCACTGAGGAGTCTCAAACAGGCGTTTGTTAAATCATTTTAAGATTGGCTTTAATCAATGTTTGAAAATGAATTCTTCATATATGATAAATGAGAGGTAACATTTTATTTATGGTATTATTTCCACATATTTCTCTCCATTCTTCCTTCTGCCAACGGTGTCGCAGTTTCTCGTCTCTCCCGTTTTTGTGCTTAGTGCGTACGCATGGGTTAGAGTTTGCGTGGAGGACCGCACGTTTTCCCATCAAGTTAGTATTTTATAAATCGCAAACATTGCGTAGAAACTGGCGTACGCCATCTTTTGAGCGTATATCCCTTTATAAATGAGGCCCCTGGTCCGAGCTCTTTTACTCTCAGCTTTCCCTCCAGTCTCCTCCTCTCAAAGGGTGTTTCTGGGATCAAACATCATTTTCCTTCTGCATATTCACTATCTAGTTTTGTTTACACTCCGTCTAACTCTCTCTCATTCAAACGTCAATCACTCACTTTTGTCAGATTTGTACACACACACACACACACCATGTATACATCACTTCAGGGGACATTATATTGACTTACATGCATTTCCTGGAGACTTATCCTAACCTTAACCATAACCAACACATGCCTAACCCTAACCAAGTCTTCACCCTAAAATCAATGATTCCCCTCATGGGGACCACCATTTTGTCCCCATAAGGGAGGCAAGTCCCCACACGTGACTGTGCAAACAGATTTAGGTCCCCACAAGGATAGTAATGCTAGGCCACAGACACACACAAAAGAGAGGAGCCATGACCTGTAACAGTTTATTCAGCATTGCTACTGTAACACTGCAAACAGGCATTCCAACATGACACAGAAAACCCACACTGATAATGGAGCAGGTACACACGGTGGGAGGGGGGGACGTTAATGCAGTAACGTAGTATCAGTACAGTACATATGTTCATGATTGTGATGTCTGTTTGTCGGATAGATTTCATCCCTCTGTATTAAACCAGCCATGGCACAGGCTAACCTTGGTTCTAAAGGGCACTGTAAATGGCTTTGTTAAGATGAACACAAGTACAACTCTAAATAAAAGCTAACAACTCTTTAATGTGAATATTTTTTAGAGGATATAATCCCTTGGGTTAGACGCTTTAACAAAGAAACGGTACATCCTACATACTGTAACACTGGGTGATGTCGTGTTCTACATGTTAGAAGCATGTTTAGGCTAGAGACTACATATGCTTTACTTTTACACACAAACATTGACAATGAAATCCAAGTGATATCAGAAAGACTTGGCTCATATTCCATGTCTCCTCGTTGGGTACAGACAGTGGAAGCCCCCAGCAGAGCGCTGCAGCGTGTCACACACGGACCACTGTTCATGCACAGAACTGCTGTTTGAATATCTCTACACGGAGACAGATGATATCTAACATATTAAAGCTTGTAGGAAAAATGTGGCAAAATGGGGAAAAGCTTGACAATCATATGCAAAATATTCATTGTTTTATGCTCTAAAGTACGCAGGCTGACGGGTGCAAACGCTTTACAACGGCCCAAAACATTTTCATTAGGAGAAACGAGCTGCAGCTTCAAAAACTGAATACCAAAATACTTGAACGATGCGAATATAACAACACAACGTCACCAAGCGCTCCGATCCCAGCTGTGTGCGTCACTTTTTAGTGTCCCCTGGTTTCTGTTGTTTCGAGCTTCTTGCTGTGTTTTGTATTTGCAGTGTTTTGTTTATGCAGCGCTTTTATTAAACGCTGCGCAAGTTGGTGACGTTTTTTCTTCATCTGCACGTGTTTTGGCACATTTGTGTTTTTTAATGTGCATTGTTTTTGAGGCTGCAGCGCGTTTCTCCTTATGGAAATGTCTTGGGACATTAAAGTGCATTTGCACCAGTCGGACACCGAACTGAAGGGTTTTTATTGAAGGAAATGCTGCTGTGATAAAGCTGTAGCATCTTCTCACACGTGGAGCTGACTACGAGGGACTTATTATGCAAGTTCTGCTCTATGATATGATATTAAGTGCATATCAACACTAAAGTGCTGGGCTACTCTCTTATTTTATTCAAAACATTAGAGAATATTAAATATTGTTTGAAATGATGCTCTTGCTGCTTGTATGTGATCGGGGAGAGATGGTAAACATGATCCTGAATTGAACTTTATTCAGTCAAGGGAGTTAGAAGCAGCTAAGCCGGCTGTCAGACTGATTAACAAGGCTCAATAATACAAAGTGTGAGAGTAAGCATCTTCTGGCTGCCTGTAATGGTGAAACACATATATAGTAGCTTCAATAGTTCATTGAGAACAAGGGGGCAAAGCGAGTTTGCCAAACAACATCGCTGGTACACTATCAAGATATGGTTGTCATAGAAACATCAGTGCCAGGACGGTTTTTTTCTTGATTAAAAGGGGGGAGGAGGCTCTGCACAGCGCCCTTCCAGAAGAAGATGCTATGTGGACTCAGGCTCTAATACACACTCTCCCTATCAGTGCAGGGTAGTTGAAACAGGATGGAGCTCCCAGATGATCTGTCTCACTGGTAACCCTAACAACAGTGGACTGACACTGAAGACAGTGTTGCTGCGTCAGTGTTTCTACTCAAGGCAAGCTCTGGGTTTAGGGGACTCTCTTCTTCAGTCAATCTTCAGCACAACTATTCTGCTGCAGGAAGTGGGACTGCTGCGTGACGTTGGGGGGGCTTCAGAGGTCGAAGAGGACCTCCAGCACGGTAGACAGAGACCAGGCCTGGCTCTCACAGCTGAAGGGACAGAACTGACCGTTCTCATTGGTCAGCTCAGGCAGACCCTTCCATGGAGACCTGAGCAGAGACAGAGAGGCGAAGTGATGACAACACAACCGTTAATTCAGCTATCCGTTAGCATAGCTTCCATTCTTTCAGCATTAGCCGCTAGCATAGTTTCCATTCTTTCAGCATTAGCCGTTAGCATAGCTTCCATTCTTTCAGCATTAGCCGCTAGCATAACTTCCATTCTTTCAGCATTAGCCGCTAGCATACCTTCCATTCTTTCAGCATTAGCCGTTAGCATACCTTCCATTCTTTCAGCATTAGCCGCTAGCATACCTTCCATTCTTTCAGCATTACCCCCAGTTTCCACTGGGTCCGTCTGCGCCGCGGTTTTGGTCCGACCTCCTCTAGCGCCATAACCCACCGGACGCGTCCCAGAAGCGTTTCAGAAGCGTAGCGTCGTGCGTGCAGGCTCGCAGTTTTGTTATTGATTCAGGCATCCTGGACATTTGTACTTCTACAAGAAAGTAAGTAGGCTACGTAGTTACATGTTTTATTTATGTGTCTGTTTAAATTGGGTTTATTGTTGTTATACATTTCCTATTTTGTTGTGTTGTAGTCTACAGACACAGTTAATAATAATTGTAATAGTTATACAGGGTTGCCAACTCTCACGCATCTGGCGTGTGACACACGCTTTCACTCTCAATCTCACGCTCTCACGCTGCCCAAACTATTCTCACGCCACAAACAAGATGAACCGGCGATTGTTTTTGGTTAGTTATTTACAATGTTGAGTTGACAGCTGCTCAAGCTGTGGATCCGCTCCCTCCCCGCCCCCACCACTCTTAACAACGTTAACAGACAGCAGAGCAGTGGGAGCCGGTTGGTCAATCCCCGACCCGTATTGCGCATGCGCAGATCTAAGATCCAGTAGAAATGATAAAAAGTCAAAGTCTGCTGCTTATTGTTCTACTAGGCCACAATAGAGTCAAAGAGTATATGAGAGTGAGAGTGTGTTAATTCATGTATTTGGCAGTTTGGAGTAAGTCTGTAGATTTGTTTGTGTGTGTGTTTCATGTATAGGCCTCTCACGATCATTAATTTGGTTGGATACATTTTCCTGGAAATTATTGCGATAAACGATAATATTGTCGGCACCGTTGTATGACCATTTTAGACCACTGACATAATGATAATATATAATAATAATTCAAGTACATCCTTTCAAACTGCTAGTCACATCCTCATGTAAATGGCACTTTATCGAGTTCATTTTTATTTATCGTACGATAAGTCAATTAATTGCTTATCGCGACAGGCACACAATAAAACAGTGGAAACAAACATGTGTTTGACTTTCATTAGTGAATGAAACTGTGTGCCCTTTATATTCTGTTTCCAATATTGTGTCTTTGTATATATTGTAAATATATATCCTATATATATGCTAAGGTCCCGCTACTGACACGATAACAGTCATTTAGTGCGCATATGTGTAATAATTAAACCCATGATATCAATCTCACTCCAGCCAGGTACCCAAAGTTGGCAACCCTGGGTTACATCATATAAAATAGTGTATTTTTCCACTTCCATGATGAAAACCTCGTCGTCCATTGTGCGTATCGTAGTGGAGGTATTGTGATGAAGGAGGGGGGTCTGCTAAATTAGTATATGTGGGGGATGGGCCTGGCCCGGATGCTCACCTTTCCACTTCCTGCGAAGGGGGGCTGCCTGCCCGACCTTATGTTACGGCTGTGCCGTGGCAAAAATAGGATTCATCCTAACGGCCCGTCCACACAGCGGCGTGCGTTGAAGCTTCCAACGCTTCTGCCCATTCACTTTGAATGGGGTGACATCACTTTTAGCCGAACTGCATTTTGGGAAGCGACGTGGAGCGTCAAAAGTTGAGCAATGTTCAACTTTTGACGCCTCGACGGAGGCGTCAGCCAATGAAATCCCATTTATGCAAATCTGCCAGTACAAGCACTAGCCAATCAAACCGCGTGTATGCTGGGAGAGACTACGCAGGTCATTTCCTCATATTCAAAAAAATGGAGGGAAAATTCATTATAGCGGTAGTGAATCACCCGGTGCAGTATGATCAGTCTCTGTTGATCTACCGGGATACAAACCGGAGGAGCGAGGCATGGAGGGAGGTGGCAGAGACAGTGGGTGAATCTGGTAGGTTTTCGCCTGTTTGGGGATTTTATATCCAGTTTACTTCGTTTTAACATTGCTATTGCTTTGTATGTCGGAGGCGGGAGATTCATGTGATTGGTTGTTGGTCGCATTGCTCGCAAAATATCCCCAAGCTTCAGATACGCCCACCTCCAAGCGTCAACGCTAGTGCTGGGGGGAAACGATTATTTTGAAAACGATTAATCGGGCGATTATTTGATCGATTAGTCAACTAATCTGACGATTATTTTTCTGTTGTTCAATTCATAAAAAACGTAATGTAAAAAAAAATTTGTTCAGGATACTGTGTCTCAGGGGATCTTAATATTTAAGAACCTATTAATGTGTTATACCAGATTAACGGAAATAATCTCAGCTAACTGACGATACAATCTGTTTACCAAAACAAAACACAAGTCTCATAAGAAGCATCTAAATGACCCCTGAGCGAAAAATGCTAACGGACATTGGCACAGAACTCAAGATAAAAGTACCCTTATTACTTATCGTAGCTGCACATACAATATATCCGATTAAAGCTGAGACTCCACAGATTATGTAGGTATATAGTATCATCACTGAGTCATCCGAACTCGCGACAGGGGAAGCAAATACAGTCATCACAACACGTACCTTCACAGAGCTTATAGTGAGATCGTCTCACCACCGTAGCTGTCAATCTGATCAAAAGACGTGTTCAATGGCATTAAAATGAGAAAAAACGCGGCTGAATCGGTTAATCCATAGGTTTTTAACGTCTATGTATAAAAAAATGATTGAATTTATAATCCATAATTCCATTTTATGTAAAAATCGGAGAGCAAATGCTAGCTGCTAATGGTAGCCACCACAGCTAGCTGCTGCTTCTGCTAGGCTATGCAGCAGTCTCAGTAAGATATAAATATATAAATATCTTTGCGTTTTGGACTAACTTTAAAATATTCCCATGCTTTTGAAGACCTAGGGCGAGATGTTTTCGTTTGGGGGCTTCGTGCGCAATCCTGTGAGGAGGAGGTGGTAGCCGTTTCAGTCTCCATTGTGTTTGAAGTGCGATTGCGAACTGCTTGTTGCTTTGGGTGACCCACGTGTGTGTAGCGACGCGTCGACGCGGAAATATGTCGTCGACGATATTTTGAAGTCGACGCGTCGCTACAGCACTAGTCAACGCACGCTGCTGTGTGGATGCTCCGTAACCCCTAGTTTCCACTGGGTCCGTCTGCGGCGTGTTACGGGCGCGTTGCGGCTGCGCCGCGGCGTCCGCAAGGATCGCGGCCACTCTAGTCAATGGGTGCTATTCCACCAGACGCGCCGCGTTACGGCTCAGAAGCGTCCCAGAAGCGTCTTGCCGCTGGGCTCCGCTCGAAATAGGATTGAAGTCTATTTTTCGACGCAACGCAGCCGTAAGGTAATGTCGGGCAGGAAGTGGAACGGTGACAGCATCCGGCCCAGTCCCCAAAACCGGTTCCTTCTCCTCCCCCCATCCCTCCTCTGTAGTCTTTCCAGTAGGAGAATAAAGGCCAGCGTTCTCCTTCGGTTTACAGGCACTGTGTGTAAATTATATAGAATAATTATGATGATGAATGCATTTTTTTTACCACTAAAATACAGCCCCTGGCCGTTAGCATTCCTTCTATTCTTTCAGCATTAGCCGCTAGTATACCTTCCATTCTTTCAGCATTAGCATACCTTCCATTCATTCAGCATTAGCCGTTAGCATACCTTCCATTCATTCAGCATTAGCCGTTAGCATACCTTCCATTCATTCAGTATGACTTTTAAAAGTCTCTTTATAAGTGAAAGGGAGCACAGTGTTCGTACCTCTCCAGGTGGGTGTAATGCCGTGACAGAACATTCTTCACCATGGTGACTGTTTTATCGTAGCTTTCTTCTCCCTGCTTCTTGGCAAAGTAGAGTTTAGCACGCAGGAAGTAGCCTACAGGCCACAGCCACTCCTACAACAAAAAAAATATATTAAAATCCTGCTTCACCGCTGGTTCTATGCTATAGTTCAAGGTGTTGGTTAGCTTTAAGCTAACTCTTCTGCAGCTCATTGTCTAAAATGCCCTTATCTGTGTTTTTAGACAGCAGTTGTTATGAAATAGATTTTAGTATGTAAAGTTTTTCAAGGCTTGGGAAGTAACGGATTACGTAATCAGGATACTAAAACATGGTAACTGTATAAATTACATTCAAAAAGATGCAACAAGATTACTTTTTTTTAAAGGTCCCCTATTATATTGTTTTTTATAAATATATTATAAGTCTCAGATACAAAACAAGTCTCTGAAGTGTTTGGCTCCAAACACCAAACAGGTCATTGCAGCATTACCCATAATCCCCTCTGTTTCAGCCCTGTTTCCAAAGTGCTGATTCTCTGTCTGTTACTTTAGATGAAAACAAGGAGCCCCTCCCCACGCCCCTCTGAGAGACATTTGGATACAAAGAACTCAATGGTGCTCTTGGAGGAGATTCAGGTGATAAGGTGGGGGGGGCAAAATCTGATCAGCTCATTTTCAGACAGGTTTTTATAGAAATGGATCAGGACAAAAAGAGTGAGAATATTTTTTCCTGAAACTTTCAGAGTCTCTTTACACAGAGAGAGGGGACACATGTTGATGTATAAAAGACATGAACAAGTGGATTTTGCATAATAGGTGACCTTTAAATGGGGATTACTAGCAGGATAACAATGTTACAATACATTTTGAAATAAAGATCAATATATTGTAGGGAGACATACTATCTGAACTTTCGTTATGGTTTTCATTTAGGCTACTTTCATTCTTTTTTTAAAAGGGGACCTATCAGGCAAAATGCACTTTGTGATCTCTTTTCCACATAAACATGTGTCCCCGGTGTGTCAGGGAACTCACGCAGCATCAGAAAATAAAACCCTCTCTCTTTTCCTCCGTACCCTAATCTCTAAAAACGGGGAACAACGGAGCTGATCCAGATTTGCATCCGATTTGACATCATATCGGCAATGTGGACCCACAGCACTATCAGAAAATTGCTATCAGAAACAATGCCCGACTGTTTTGGACGTAATTTGGTCTGTGTTTACATTAGCATCGCTAACACTCAGAGCTAACCTGTACTGGAGAGAGCATGTGTGTGAAGAAGCAGGAAATACAAAGGAACTCACCTTGTGGTATAACCAGCAAGAGAGAAAGCCTTTGAGCTCCAAACTGTTTCAGAGATAATCCTTGATAATCCATGATATGGCGTTTCATCACGGCAGAATCTGCCGGTAGAATCTCCCACATGAGCTCAGCCCCCTCCTTTTTTATCAAATTCTATTTTTTTTTAAGCTTTATACATAAAATCAGCACTTTTGAAACAGGAAGTGAAGTAGAGAGATTTGAGGCATGGCTAGAATGGGTGATCTGTTTGGTATTTTGAGCAAAACACTTCATAGACATGTTTTTATATATCTGAGACCTATGCTATTGCCTAAAAATAGCATGATAGGTGACCTTTAAATTAAGTAGGAGGACACCTGATTTATTAAACAAAACACTGTGTTTGCTTTTAATTGTGTAAACTAATGCTTTTAACTAAAATGTGTAAACTTTACTTTTCTGTTGGCCTAGCCTTTCATTTCAGATGAGACATTTTTTATACTGAATATCTTGGTTTCTTCTTTTCTAAGGTTACATTGTTCTGTTGAAAAAACTTTGACTTTAATTAAATGTATTATGTCAACAAATGTCACATAACTATATTAGGTTAGTTGAAAGCAATAATATTTGGTTGAACCTAATATTTATATTTAAACTTAATTGTTATATGAATTCTGTTGACATGATACATTTAACTAAAGTCATCGTTGCAGTTTTTTCAGTGCACTTCTTATTGATTTTGATTTTCTCTTGTATTTATTTGCAATATATTTGATAATGAGGCAGTCCAAAAGTAACGGAAAGTAATCAGATTAGATTACTTTTATTTTGTAATAATCAGATTAGGTTACTGATCAGATTTGTCACAGGTAACTAGTAAATGTAAGATGTTATAGTTTTTATTGTAACTTGAACTTAAATGAAAATAAAGATGTATTCAGATGACTATCTGCTCAGTGTCTGGGTGGTTATGATGAAGCTTCAGATAGCCTCTCAGGGTTTCACATATCTGCATTCTGTAAGATTGTAGTGGATTTGGAGTTGTTTGTAATGAGTGCGTCTCACTCACTGGGCCTTGGTGGTAGTTGAAGCCTTTAGCCAGGTTGTAGTTGTCGTTGTCCAGAGAGTTGTCATAGACACCGCAGTACACCATGTCACTATGAAAACACAAATACTATTATCAGTATGAGACTGAATGTATAAGGAATCCTCCTACTGCCATCACTCTTCTTTTAAGCACATGTACATGAATACATTTAAAAGCAGGTGGAGTGACAGTATATCTGCCAAACACCCTAATGAAGATATATTTACTCGGGGTCCAGCGTCTTCATTCCCAGCGGGCCCAGCAGTTTCTTCTCAGCCATCTCAAGGGCCAACCAGGCCTTCTCCACTGTGAACAGCTCGGGGGCCTTCAAATACAGAGAACCTCTCAGCAACCAATCACAGCTCAACACACCGTGAGCCTATACCAGATGTTCTACTCACCACCACCATGGCTATAGTGAAGTTGGGTCTCAGCTGGTAGTCACACCAGGCGTTGGAGGCCCCGTAGCTGTCCTTATAGATGCCTTTCTTGTGCACCAGGTCAGCATGCTTCTCATTGGGGTCACCTGGGTCCCCGGACACCCAGAACCCTGCCTCGAAGGTCTGCTGCAGCTGCTGGTTCCACTGGGAGTACGAGAGGAACTCCTCATTACCTGCAACACAACAACAGGGTTCATACCAAGGGTGTATCTTCAAAGTGTATACATTACAAGACATGAACTGCAATGTCAAAAACGTTAATGTATTTTTCATGTATGAATATGTTATACATTTAAAAGGCAGGGGGATAAGTAAACCTTCTTCCTTAACAGTTCCCACTTTAGTCTGTATGGTGGTGTGTCAGTTCAGGTGGTCAGGATTACTACACAGAAGTGGAAATGAATGTAAAATAATTTCTAGATCTTGACTAGAAGTTGTTTTGATCATAAAGTAAAATACTAAATTGTTCAGTTCCAGATACTGTCTAAATGTTGTATGCCTTTGTAGATACACCATGATCTGTAATGCACGTGTGTAAATGATAAACATTTTGAGAATCTACTTTTTTGCACTAAAAAGGGAACAATTTAGAGTTGTTGTTATGTAGAGGTTATCATGCATTGATTTTACTGGTCCGGCCCACTTGAGATCAAATCTTGCTGTGTGCGGCCACTGAACTAAAATGAGTTTGAGGCCCCTGGTTCATACTGATGGCTAGTCAAACCAAAGGAGTGCAGGACACATTTCATCATGTGAACAAACAGTGAGTATGTGTGTGTGTGTGGTGTGTGTGTGTGTGTGTGTGTGTGTGTGTGTGTGTGTGTGTGTGTGTGTACCATCTCTGTGTACTTTGGCTCCGTCATAAGGGAACACTCCTTTGACATGGAGCTCCACCACCCAGCGGACAGCTGACTTACTGAGACCAACGATCTCCACTGCTGCTCCGTCCCTGCACACACACACATTCACCTCTGTTATTCTGTTAATTATTTAGACTGTAAAACATCAGAGGATAGGGGAAACAAACATACACAGTAATGCTGAAGTAACACTGAGGAAAACAGCAAATCTTCATATCTGATTAAATCCAATACAGGACAATGATCTGATGCAAACTAGCTTTAAGACACTGAGGGGTTTGTAATGTGAGGGACCGTGTGTGATGAATGTTTGTGTGGTACCTTGTGTGTGTGTGGTAGCTTGAAATGGTTCCTTGGAGTTACCTTGGAGTGTCTGTGTGTAATTGTATTTGTGATATCTTGGTTTGTGTGTGTGTGTGTGTGTGTTATCTTGGAGTGTGCGTGTGTATGTGTTATCATGTATTTTCTGTGTGTGTATTTCTTTTTATGATATATTGGATTGTGTGCCAGGGCTGCGCTTTGTCACCAATCCTGTTTGTAATATACATGGATCAGATTTCGAGGCGTAGTCATGGGGGAGGGGGTCTGCAGTTCGGTGGACTAAGGATTGCACCACTGCTTTTTGCAGATGATGTGGTTCTAATGGCTTCATCGGTCTGCGACCTTCAGCACTCACTGGATCGGTTCGCAACCGAGTGTGAAGCGGCTGGGATGAGGATCAGCACCTCCAAATCTGAGGCTATGGTTCTCAGCAGGAAACCGATGGACTGTCCACTCCAAGTAGGGAATGAGTCCTTACCCCAAGTGAAGGAGTTCAAGTATCTCGGGGTCTTGTTCTCGAGTGAGGGAACAATGGAGCGTGAGATGGGCCGGAGAATCGGAGCAGCGGGAGCGGTACTGCAGTCGCTTTACCGCACCGTTGTGACGAAAAGGGAGCTGAGCCAGAAGGCAAAGCTCTCTGTCTTCCGGGCCATTTTCGTTCCTACCCTCACCTATGGTCATGAAGGATGGGTCATGACCGAAAGAACGAGATCACGGATACAAGCGGCCGAGATGGGTTTTCTCCGCAGGGTGGCTGCTGTCTCCCTTAGGGATAAGGTGAGAAGTTCGGTCATCAGGGAGGGACTCGGAGTTGAACCGCTCCTCCTTCGCGTCGAAAGGAGCCAGTTGAGGTGGTTCGGGCACCTAGTTAGGATGCCACCTGGGCGCCTCCCTAGGGAGGTGTTCCAGGCACGTCCAGCTGGGAAGAGACCAAGGGGTAGACCTAGGACCAGGTGGAGGGATTATATCTCTTCGCTGGCCTGGGAGCGCCTTGGGATCCCCCAGTCAGAGCTGGTTGATGTCGCCAGGGAAAAGAAAGTTTGGGGCTCTCTGCTGGAACTGCTACCCCCGCGACCCGACCACGGATAAGCGGGAGAAGATGGATGGATGGATGGATGGATTGTGTGCCTGTATGTATCTTGAAGTGTGTGTTTGCATGTGTGTGATCATGTGTTCTTTCAGAGTGAGTGTGTATTTGGGTGTTACCTTGGATTGTGTGAGTGTGTGTTTTTATCCATGCTACCTTTGAGTGTGTGTGTGTGTGTGTGTGTGTGTGTGTGTGTGTGTGTGTGTGCATGTGTTACCTTGGGCTAGCGGGCATGCCTTTGTTCTTTGCCTTCTCACTTTCTCCCATCTTATCCATCCATGTGCCGCAGTTGAAGCGGTTTCCTCCGCTCACAAATCCGGTATCTGGATCCACCTTCGCCTCCACGTTGAACCCTGAAAACAAGATTCATGCATTTGATGAAACATGGTTTATCCTGCAGTAGCAGCCGGGGTGGGCTTTATCATGCAGTAGCAACGTCTGTCTACCTTCATCTTTCATGTGCATGTCTATCTTGGGTCCAGCGTTTCTCTCTCTGAAGGAAATTCCCTGTAGGTGGCGCTGCAGAGCCTCCTGGATCACATCATACAGAGGCTGCTCCTACACACACACACACACGCACACACACACACACACATTATATATATGGAAAGTGATGTGCTGCTGACCTTTAACTGTGTGTGTGTGTTTTTCAGTTGTACATACCACTTCTCCAGGGGTCAGAGGTTCACAGTCATCAGTAGGGTACATGCGTGTAACAGGGCACTGAAGGATTTCATGCCCCTGAGGAACGTGGGAAGTGTAGTCCTGAAGAAAGCACAAAGGAGGTTAAAGTTTATAAATAAGTACATTATTAAAAGACAATATAAGATCATACTGTATGTGTATGTAGAAATACATTACTTTTCTTTATTTATTGTAGGTAAACAAACATTTAATATAGTTAGGAATAACTTTAGAGGGGATTGCTTGTTGAAAGTGAAATGTATTTAGACCTCCTTCTTTACATTATACCATATTACTACCTGAATGCACTGCAGCCACCACCACACAGCGTCACGGCAGTTGAAGCGAGCACAGCGACCCTCACCCAGCAGGTTGGGGATCAAACCGTGACGCAACGTGCCCGCAAATGCCAGGATGATGTTGCTATGGGAGACCAGGGAGACAGAATGGTTTATTTTAGAGTTAAGTTACTGAAGGGCAGGGCAATGAAGGAGCCTTAAGAGACCGAAACGTGTATGACTGTTGGGCACAGCACAGGACACACCACACACCACATCACACACACACACACACACACACACCACACACACACACACACCCACACACACACACACTACACACACACAGCACACACACACACACACACACACGTCTATAATACACAACAACACACACACACACACACACATCCACACACACACACAACACACACACACTACACGCACACACACACACACACACACACACAACACACACACACAACACAACACACACCACCACAACACACACAACACACACACACACACACACCACACACACACACACTACCCACACACACACACACACACACACACACACACACACACACACACACAAACACACACCACACACACACACACACCACACACACACACACTACACACACACACACACACACACACACACACCACACACACACACAACACACACACACACACAACACACACACACCCACACACACACACACCCACACCACACACACACACACACACACACCGAGCCTCGATGTGTCTCCCAGTGAGCAGCATCAGTCCTCTGAGGGCGATGAAAGTGTCTCGGCCCCAGCACCGGAAAATCCCAGAGGAGAAATGAGGCAGACCTGAAGGATGAGTCAAATCGGCCAATGAGCGTTCACCTCATCTACAGTATTTATGTTTATTTCATTTCACCTTCATCTCCATAAGATAATGAGCTCATTCTTCAATTCAATACACACTTTTATTAATAATAATTCATAATAATTGTAACTTTATCTACAGAGACACCATTAAGCGTCTGTTGCTATGCTACCTGCAGCCAATGAGACGCAGCACTGCTCCTTCTGGCCTGTGACTGGACTGACGCGGTAGGGAACGTTGTCAAGTTTCGTAGAAAGGGGAGGGAGGACAGGCAGGTCTCCAACGCCACACATCTGAACGGACCCCAGTGCCAGGTAACGCACGAAGCTGGAGCCATTCTGCACGAAACTGTTTGAACAAAGAGAGAGAATATAAGCAGCTGAAGGGAGACAGGAAGTGGGGTTGTCCAACATGTCTCTTAACTGCAAAAACTGTTTTAGAATAGTGCCACTACGGTGGCCGGCAGGTGCAAACCTGTTACACTTCCATTAAGGGAAAAGTGCGATTTATGCAACACTTTTAGTAACCGCTGCACATGGATCGTCAAGTTGGTGAAGATGTGCTTTTATTTGCCTGTGTTTTGAAAGTGCAGCACTTTCTCCTAATGGAAGTGTTTTGGCCCATTGCAGCGTGTTTGCACCTGTTGGCCCCCATAATATCAGATCCTAACGAAGCATATTTCCTGTTTCCTACCTGGACATGAGTTTCTGAGATGCGTCCAGAGCGGTAGTGTAGGTGGACACCAGTATGGCATCAAAGTAACAGGGATGAGGTAGCGTGGGATGTGTTTCAGGTAGTTAAACATGGCTGCCAACCACTGACCAATCTGCACACACACAATGTACACACATCAGAAGAAGGTAAGAGCTGGACTTAAACTAGAGGCATGTAGTTTAGTGCATGCATGAGTACTAATCTTTTTACAGATATCCAACTCGAAGATTATTTGCATCCTGTCTATAATCATACTGCTCTACCCTGCATAGCGAGTAGCTTACAGTGACAGGAGGGTTGACAAGTTGTTTTAAAGGCACAGCTCATCTGATTAAGACATATTTTGTCACTTACATTTTTTACTTAAATAGTGGTGTCTAAGACACTCAAAGCTTTGTCAATAAAAAGAAAAACCACCATTAAAATCAATGTTTAGGCTAAGATGACATAGCAGCAGAAGTATGAGAACAGATGCATAGTGCAGTATAGTATAGCTTTAAAAAAATAAAATAGGACACAGATTGCAGTATTTTTTGAACGTGTTGGTAGTGGCTTGTGTCTGCAGAGGTGTTACAGCACCATTGATCATTTAGTTTTTTTTAAAGATATTTTCGAATTACTTAAAGGTGGGGTAGGTACGTTTGAGAAACCGGCTCGAGATACACTTTGTTATATTCCATGGAATGCTCTTAACATCCCGATAGCAATGAATATCTGAAGTGCTTTGACAAAAAATCCATAAAGAAATATCATCAGCCGTAGCTGTAAAAAGCACGACCAATCATTTTAGCCGGCCCGGCTAAAGTAACTGGATGGCCTACCTGCCTGTCAGCCTTCCATCTGTGCACAAACCTATCTCGTGCCCTCATTGGTCATGTGTGCGTTCGTGTGTTGGAGGAGGGGCTCTGTAAGGAAGTGGCAGATTTGTTTTCCGGCTGTGTATTTTCAAATTCTAGCGCACTGGAGCTGGTTTCTCAAACTTACCTACCCCACCTTTAAGTCTTGTAAATACTGTTCCCTACACCTTCATTGTGCTCAACTCTCATGAGATAACATCAAAGACAGATTCCTCAAAACCTGAACAATTAAAACCAAATGTATCTGAAGGGCTGAATACCAGAAGAGACAAATGAAATGTGTCTTTTTGTATTGGTGGTCCTGTAGGCTGCTCACCTGTTGCAGTGGTCCCTCTCTGCGTGTCAGTCTGTTGGCGACAAAGTCTATGAGCCAGTCCCCTTGTCTGAGGTTGCCACACACAGGATGGCCCAGGTCATTGTTGGCACGGATGTCAGCCAGCACTGATATTAGACCTGAAGCGACAAAATCAACTGACCTCAGGCCCTGTGTCCACACGGAATAGGATTCTGGCAGACAGTCACTTCTCCTACTTTTTTTATTTTTTCAATTACAATCACCGCTTTTAGAGGACAGACTGCCTTTTATCTATATGTTCAGGCTACTTTATTTTTGTTCAAGATTTCAGCATGAACACCAAATAGAAGATCCATAGAGCGAATAGGACGGTGAGTGTTGATAAAAGTACAACACTCGCCAACAGCTACAGTGTCTTTGTTAAGATTTGTTAAACGTATGTCGGACACATGGGGCTTAAAACTAGGTTCTACTGTAGCTCCTATAGTGAGCTCCCCAGCGCATATCTGAACAGTAGAAATATTTTCACTTCAAAGCGTTTGGAACGGCCACACAAAGAAGGCGGGACGTTATAATGCAGCTACTTAACTTTACTACCTTGGATGTGTAGTTGTCTTATATGCATTTTATAAAGGTGTACTTGCCTTTTTATATAACATGTTATTGTACTTAGCACATCCTCTTTTGAGGAAATATTATAGTTTATTATAGTACACTGTAAACTATATAGAACACCGTATAGTGTCTCAATTTGAAACTGTGTGCAACTACCTTGTAGTCCAGCATATTTGAGGCTCTCCCATCCTGGGATCCCGTAGCAGCCTCCACCATCTTCCTGTTCCTCAGCGTCACAGCGGAAAAGCAGGATGTTCAGGTCGGCTAACGTCAGCCTGGACATCAGTCTGTGGAACACACACGTTTAACACCAACGAGTGTCATCATCTTTGTCATTCCACACCTCTTATGTACATTCAAGCTGTCCCATTCCATCAAAGGGACATTTACTAGATGTCTTGTTTAATACACATTTATAAAAAGTAAGCACAGCAGTGTAATGAGAAAAATGATATAACAAGCAGACATATGGTTTTTAATTCCTTGTTTTCCTCTCCTTGTCCAAATATGGTACCTACATTTCCCATAATGCAACTCAATGACAGTAGCAGTTGCTTGTAGCAAGACTTCCAATAAATCCGCTGAACTTCACACCTCCAGAGTTTTAATTCTTCTTACAGCCAACCGACACTAGCTCGAGTGACACTTGAGGAAATTCAATCTGAGTTTCTGAGACACTCAAGACTTCATGCAACCTTTGGCACATGTGCATAACTCTACAACATCTGTAGACAAAGTTTGACATGTGAAGTTGAGTCACTGTTTGCCTCTAAACCTTCATAACAAATGTTATAGTTATGAAAGATAGTTAAGGCGGGTTTAACCTTACTCTGTTCATACCATAAGAAAATATTTACAGTGAGTGATGTGTGGACATTTGACTCACTGTGCCAGGGGTTTGGTCAGAATCTCTGGCAGGTGTTCATCTGCTTCACTGCCTCTCCGGTATTTTGGGCTGAACTGAGTCAGATAAAATCTCAGCATCCCCACCAGCTTCTGGGCCTTGGGGTCCAAACTAACCCTGTGAGGAAAAGAGGGAGAGACACAGAAAACTTTGAATTAAAAAGGATTTCATTGCTAACAAACTAATGTTAAAGCTTTCCAAAACCAATGAAACAGTGATAAATGTGCCTTGTAATGTTTGAATGATGATGCAAATACACAGTCCTTATTTCCCTTCAGTGCTGAGGTTTACCTGAAGGCGATGACGCTGCCAGGTGTCAAATTCTGAAAGGTGATTTCCTCCATAAACTCTGATATACCTTTAGAAGTCACTACAGCTTGCTTCACCACTGTACTCTCCTGTAACTACATAAATATACTGAATGTTATAATAGTTTAAATGATCTAATTTCTATCAATAATACAAAAATGGTCAATATTTACCGATATGTGCTCCTTTATTTCCACAGTGTACTCTGGCATGCCGTTGATGTATTTGTCATCCTTCTTATAACTCCCAGCATGCCTTTCCACTGTCCTGGCCTCCAGCACCACTTCCTCTATCTTTCCTAGAGAGAGAGAGACAAAGAGAGGGAGATAGATTATCCTACAAAGATGCAACAACGTAGTTAGATATACAAGTTGGAGATTTGTTATAGACAGGTGATAATGTAATTTCCATACCAGGTATGAACATGGGTGGGATGTTGGTGTCGTATTTGTGTGTTTGGGGGTTCCAGAAGGCCGTCCTGCACACAGCCACCACAGACTGGTGTGTGCTGGGACAGTGGCGAGTCACTGCAACAACATCTGCATCCACCTGGTCCACAAACACCTGCAGGACCAGATGAGATCAATGGATATGATACACATTTGAGTTTTTCCTTATTATATCAACACACATACAAAGTTCATTATGGGTTGAGTATAGCCTTTTTTTTTTTTTTAAATACTCGTACCTTTATTGAAGTGATAGTGTGTAAGGAGGAGGTAGAGGGGATGACTTGCAGCAAAGGGACCGAGCTCCACCGCAGCATGTATTATTTGAGCATATTCCTATCTATTAGTATATTAGATATAATATATTAGTATGTATATTACTATATCAATATTCTAATATTCAAACATTAGACGTTGCATATTTTTGTTAAAAGAATGTTCTTCCACGGTAGGAATTATTTAAGGAGGCCTTGTTTTCATTAGAGGCCAAAATATGTTTATGACTATTCTAAGAATCAGTTAGACAGTTGTTTACCAGGTCTCTGCTCATTGTATTTCCATCACATTATGGATGTACCTATATCAGGCTCTACGTAAATCCTGAGTGCTAATGCCTAGCAAGCTCGTAACTAAACCTTTCCTTATGTGTGGCAAACTTATATCTGGAGAAATGTGTGGGTCAGGCTGAAAGTTCATCTCCTCTCTGCTGCAGCTGCGTCCAGCCACCTGGTGTTCGGTGTAGGTATTTAGGGTGAAAGGTGTACATCCAGTTTGTGATGGTGTCGAGGACAATACCCATAATCTTCCAAAATGTCTCTCTTCCTAGTCACCGGGCCATTCTGAAAGTCCCAAATGATTTCCCCTAATGGTGCCACTAGTCACGTCCAAGGCGTCACAGACACACCCTCCGAGTGTGAGGTCAGTTCTGAACCTGCCCAGTACCGCCTTAATCATACCCATGTGTTACAGATGTCTTCCTGCATTCAGCTATGGACTGGTTATACATTCCTGGGGTTGGAAGAGGAAGTCAGTGGCTCTTGGTTAGAGGAGCAGGCAGCATTTTTTGTTAAAAGTGATTTGTTTAATAGATTATGCTTGGACTCTAGAGCATTTCTATTTGTATTTTATATAATTAACCTATTTTTTCATTTTATTTTATTACCAGTCCTTAAAATGTTATATACTGTGCGTAAATAAAATCCCTATTTTTCTCCCCTCTCTCAACAGAGCTCTGAGAGTGGTTCCTACCTGGATGAAGCCCTGTGAGGCCAGCTCCTGGTGCAGCTTGTTCAGGGCCAGTTTCCCAGCTATGATGCCTGTCTGAGGTCCAACCTCACCGCCAGAGGAGGGGGCTGCTGAAGGGTTCCACTTGGGGTAAAATCGCTCCTCCTTCACAACAGAGATCTACACACACACACACACACACACACACACACACACACACACACACACACACACACACACACACACACACACCACACACACACACACACCACACACACACACCACACACCACACACACACACACACACACACACACACACACACACACACACACACACACACACACACACACACACACACACACACACACACACACACACACACACACACACACACACACACACACACACACACACACACACACACACACACACCACACACACACACACACACACACACACACACACACACACACACACACACACACACTAATGAATGAAATCTGTTCCACTGTAGCAAGTAGCAGTTGTGTGTAATATCCAGTACATGTTAATGATACATTATACAACTCTATGCAGTGGAATCAGAGGTGAGTTTCACATTAATTTAGTTTATTTGTTTGTAAATATTTGTTTGCAAGCCGTGGAATGGGGCTAAAAAATGGTGTGAGCATCCACACCTGTACACATACAATAAAGCAATCTCATGATTCAGGTTTTATTGTCTAATGCACAAAATCTACACCATAGTTGTTGGCAATGAAAATATGTGAAGTCCCGGTCCTGGCCACCAGTGCAACATACACTTAAGACATAGGAAGTCAAATACTGCAAAAACAAAATAGTAAATACAGTGGTGCAAGCAGAAAGCAGGAATGAGTAAACTATGTTCATAAAGGATAGAATAAGATTAACAGAATGTAAAATGAAATACTGTGCAGTAGAATAAAATACTCTTTCTAGCTAGCTATTGATTGATTGTCAGTTTATTTCGATTATAAGCAGCTGTTTCAGCGTGAGCCAAGCTAAACCAGCAAAAATAAATCTTGCAGCTTTTAGTTTTTCACACAATCACAAACAAGAATGAATAATAGAAGGTGATAGTTGAGTATACGATTAGCGTAATCTACAGAGCTAAGTTGGAGACTCTTTAAATCCTGATTTTTACAATTGAATCATTAACGACAAACACATGACACTCTAGCTACAGTATACATAGAGATTTTCAAACTACAAAAGTCACGACTTAAGAGAAAATAAACTAGCATTAACCCTGTTTATATATTTGCATGAATATGATGATATTGAGGAATTCGTCTCACACAAGATATAAATACAGTTACTAATAACTCACCTGATGTGGCATTAACTCATCATATCCTCTGGTGGAGCCGGTAGCACAGCAGGCCATGGACACCATCGCTGAGCTGGGGAGGGAGTCCAGTGCTGAGCGCAGCTGTAACACACAAACATCACTGTACACACCTTTAACACAGAATGTATTGTGCCTACTAAAGCAAATGGTTATTAACATCTTCAGACCAAACCCAGGGACCCACCTGTATGGGACACTCGTTGTCATGGGTAACATCAAGGAACATGGCGTGTGCGATGGAGGACATGAGTGGGCGGAGGCTGGGCTGAACAAAGGCCCCGACCGGCTCCCCCCCGTAGCGGTGGACCAGCCGGCCCTGCTCATGGCTGTCCCCGGCTGACATGGCCTCTGTGGACAGGGAGCGGAGTGAGACATGGAGGGACAGCTTTCACAACACATGCAGGTTCACAGGCACTGCAGTTCAACACAGGCTCACATTAAGGACACATGCTCACCAAGGCTAAGCTTACAATCATGACAAGAATACTCCCTTTTTCCTATAAATGTTTTTTTTCATTTTTCTATTTCTGGCATTACTCACACTATTGGTGCAGTGGAGAATTTGTTGGTATAGAGTCGTGCAGCGATGACGTGTTTTTGTAGTGCAACCCTGAAGTTAGCATCCTAAGGGCTCCCTCAACTAAAACCAGTTGGATCTTTCCATTGGATTTCGGGAATATTGCAGGAAATAAGATCTGTGGCAAACACACGTTTATCTTACGTAGCTACGTTTTGTACAGCAGGATTATCTTCACATATTAACACCACTTAGGGATTTTAAAGAGTAAATGCAATCTCCAGAAGTAAAAAGCTAACATTAGGCTATAAACAAACTACATCACGGCCGTAAATCATTACTGCTAAGCTAAAGGTGGCTAATGTTCGGCGTGATGACGTTGAGTAGTTTATTTAGACACCGTTTTTATGACACATAGAAGCTTCAGACATTCACTAGTGGGGTATTTACTGACATAGTTTATAGAGCAACACATGAAATCTCTCTAGCTTAGACCTTATTTTAGCTGTGTAACCAAAAACACGTTCAAAACAACGATGACTTGAGACAAGGGAACCAGAAGCGGTAAATTAGGAACTCATTTATGGGTTTTAAGACTTATTCCCACACCGCTTTGTTTGCACTTTGTCACAATGTGTGACAAATTGGAGGCAAAACCACTCAGTAAGTGAGAGTTGTGATGGGGATTTCAGGACTACATGGATGACAGCCTTCACTTTCACCTTTTTTTGAACGGGCTTTGTCTCACGTTATTTGTACTGCATGTAACATAAAGCAGCATAAATACACAAACTGTCAACTTTGTCAATATTATTAAATACACTTCATATAAGGGCATGTAGTGTAGTGATTGTGGACGTGTACCTCGTATGAGCGATGAGATCCCTAGCTTGGTGACGAAGACATTATCCAGCTCCTCACTGCCAGTGAACAGCTCAGCCACCACATACAGGTTAGGACACACTGTCCGGGCAGCGTCCAGCAGGAACTGATCACACACAGCAACACACAGCATACAGAGGTGAAGGGCGAGGAGGAGGAAGGGAAATCGAGGAAGAGTGGATATACAGAAAAGGGGGAAGAGAGAAGAAGAGATAGGGAGGAGATGGACAGAAGAGAAGGAGCAAATATAGGAGAAGGATATGGGCAGAGATTGAGGACGAGAGAGGTAAAGGGGTGGGGAGCAGGAGAAAGAAGGAGAAACAGGGAGGAGATGGTCAGAAAAGGAGAGAGCGGAGGACAGAAGGGCAGAAGGATGAGAGAGGGGGAGAGATAGGGAAGATGCAAAGAGAACAGGGAGATGATAGATTTAAAGGAGGAGAGAGAATAGGGTGAAGGCGGAGAAAGGAGAGATAGTGAAGAAAATATGGACAGAGTGAGGAGGAGAAAGGGGGAATTGACAGGGAGGAAAACGGAGGAGGGTGGGAGGAAGGGAAGATGGAACAAAAAAGGGGAGGAAAGAGGAAGGAGAGAAAGGGATGAGAGAGAAAAGTAGGAGGAGAGAGGAAAGAGAGTTAGGGAGAAGATGGAGAGTGGTGGTGAAAGTGGAGGAGAAAACACAGTGAGGAGGAGAGATATGTGAAGGGAATGCAGCCGGTGAGTCAAAGAGCACAGCATGCAGTCACACAGTGCAGGAGTGAGAGAGGAGGAGAGGAGGTGTGATGAGGAAGAATGAAGTTAAAGGAGGAGAGGAGACAGAGATAAAACACTGTGAGTTGGTGCAGAGTATTTGTACCTCGTACAAGGCTGCTAATTCCCAGCCGGTTCACAAACACATTGTCAATGAGCTCGCTGCCTGTGAACAGCTCAGCTATCACATACAGGGCGGGGTCTGACAGAGCGAGCGGCGGCGAACAGCGCCTGGCAACACACACACACACACACACACACACACACACACACACACACACACACACACACACACACACCACACACACACACACACACACACAACACACACACAGCACACACACACACACACCACACACAACACACACACACACACACACACACACACACACACACACACACACACACACACACAACACACCACACACACACACACACACACACACACACACACACACACACACACACACACACACACACACACACACACACACACCCACACCACACACACACACACACACACACACACACACACACACACACCACACACACACACACACACACACACACCACACACACACAACACACACACACACACTTTGTTTACTGCTGCACCTATAAGTATATATCAATGTTTATCTACTTTCCTGGAGGATAATATGAAAATACCTCGGCTACATGTAAAGGTGTCGAGTGGCAATTGTCCAGTCTGACTCCATTAAAGTACTTGGCTGTGATCTCAGTGTATTTCTTCATGTGGGCCCACAGGTAGGGGCAGTCCTCGGGCCCGTTGCCATAGCGCAGTTTGACACTGTCCCCCCAGCACACCAGCTCCCGGCGCAGGTACACGTTGGAGCCTAGAAGAACAAAGACCATTACTGACACAAGGAATCTCCATTTCATCAGGGCAAATTGTTCAATATATACCTGAAATTAGCTCATATTCCATTAAGATTCAATGGGCACAGAAATTATTTGTCCCTTAAGCCCCTGTCACACTGTCCCAAAATTGACACCCGATGGACACACGATAAAGGAAATGTTCAAATTCGGCTCTGATCGTAACAACATTGGGCCATTCGTGAGGGCATCTTAAGCCATCGTATGACCGACGGTGGAGTTTCTCAGGCTCCGGCAGCAACTTCGTGAGCGGCAACTTCGTAAGGCACTCGTGAGGGCATCTTGTCAAATCATGTCATCTTCGTGTTATCATCGGTGCCATCGGGCATTCGCCCTCACTCTGATCGGGGCGAATGCCTGATGGCATCAATGATAACAAGATGCCCTCACGACCTTCGCAAGGTCCTTCGGCAATTTTTTGGCATGCCAAAGATTTTGCCACCGCTCACGAAGTTGCTGCCGGAGCCTGAAGAAACTCCACCGGCGGTCATACTCAGGAATGTCCCGATGTTGTTACGATCAGAGCCAATTTCCTTTATCGTGTGTCCATCGGGTTGTTTTATTGCACAACAAAATCATGTAAACATATTATGTAAATAACCCAATTTGTGTTCTGTGAAACTGAAAAGGATATAATATATTATTTTGAAGGCGAGTTGACAGGAAGTTGTTGTTGCTATGGAAACAACATTACGGAGAAAACGTAATATTTTCTACATATAACGACGGATAAAGTAAAGAACAAAGTCTGAAGATATCAGTACAGTATCATAGTACTTTAACATAATTGTTTTTGTTACTTTCATTGCAGTTGTATGTCTTAAATGTAATGTAAATGTTGCCTTCGTGTGTGGTTCGGGGCCATCTTCGTGCGAAATTCACAATTCCATATTTGTGTGTCCATCGGGTGTCAATTTCGGGACAGTGTGACGCCAGCCTTATAAAAAATGATGTATAATCATGATTGACCGCAGCAGGAACTCTAGTTACAGTATGTTACATGTGTTTAAATTCTATGAATGTTTTCCACTGAGTGTAACATATGAACCTGGCTCAGCAAAGTTCCGCAGTGGATCGTCGCCCATCACCCAACCATTGTGGGCCAGGAAGTGACACGTCTTGTCTGGCTGATCCAGCAGCTGCAGCTCCTGCTCCAGAGTCATGTCCTCATACGGGAAGGTGAAATACCTGAGGAACACAGATGAGGGCACTGAGAAATCTGAGCCGGTTCACCAGATCACCTTCATGTTTGCTCTTTGCCCACTGCGAGGTTTGGTGCAAAGCCTTGGGTGGAAAACAGCTAGATAAGTTTCATATCTATGGTTACATCCCCCGCTAGCTTGTGGCGCTTTATAAACCTGTCATCTGATTGGTTGTGCGTTGAAAGATCAGCGGTAAAGTAAGTGAAATCTGAAATAATTTGAACTTGGAACGCATAGTTTGATTTTGAGCGATGTGTGACACCAAGGGCAACGCTTCTGCCTTGTGCAGAGCTGTTTTACCGCAAGCAACTTAGCACATACAAAAGTATTATTTGTAGTTATAAAGGTTAAAGGTATGTTGGACACGAGCCCATATGTAGGTGCTGTCTTCCTTGATCTCAGGAAGGCATTTGACACTGTTAACCACCAAGTGCTCCTTACAAAGCTGACTCATTTCCATTTTTCTGCAGTTTCTATACATTGGTTTAAGTCTTACTTATCGAACAGAAAACAGTGTGTTTTGGTCAACGGTACCAAATCCCCCTACCTTGTCAACCCTGTTGGGGTTCCACAAGGTTCCATTCTTGGACCGTTACTGTTTTCACTGTACATAAATGACTTGCCCAATGTATGTCCTGAGTTGAATGTGCAAATATATGCCGATGATGCGGTCATCTTTGTACACGGGAAGAACACTGAAATTATCTCATGTTGTCTCTCAAAAGCTTTGGACAAGATTCAACACTGGCTGAACAACATATGCTTACAGTTAAACGTAAAACAAACAGTATGCATGATGTTCAGTAAACGACCAGTCAAAATAGAAGGATCCAACGTGTTTTTAAACGGAGTAGAAATAGAACTAGTCTCCCAGTTCATGTATCTTGGAGTCATATTGGACTCAAACTTGACTTTTAAGAAACATATTAAGAAAGTATCAAATACCATTAAATTCAACTTGCAACATTTTAAACAAATTAGAGCTTTCTTAACTGTCAATGCTGCAAAGTCATACCTCCACTGTATGATTATATCCCACATTGAATACTGTTTTACAAACTGGTCGTTTGCTTGTGCCACAAACCTGAAACCGATAGAACAGCTGTACGAGAGAGCTATCAAGGTGTTTGACAGAAAGCCTTACTCATCCTTGAAAAACACAATTTCTTAAGTTTTGACAATTTGAAGTCTTTTAAAAGTACGTGTTTTTTTATAAATGTTTACATGGACTGGCCCCCCCTCCCTTAGGGGAATTCATCCACAAAAAACACACTGGATGCTGCACTCGGTCAGAAACCAGAGGAGACTGGTGGACAAACTGTCCTCTCCATTAAAGGCAGCTTTTTGTGGAATAGCCTCCCAACTGAGATACGGGATTGTCCCACTCTCAATAGCTTCAAAGGTCAACTCAAAGAATGGTTGAGAAACAACCAGACGTGCAATCACCGCTAAATGCACTTTAATGCAGGGGTATCTCCTCTTGCACTTTATGTAGCTCTTGCATCTTCTCTGGCACTTTATATGTCGTTGCTGCTATATTCTATTGCCATGGCATAAATACTTTGTTTATGCTGCTCTTGCTCTTTTGCACTTTTTGCATATCATGTATTTTGTTTTTGCTATGTTTGTAAAATGTAATTTTCTTAAATGTTTTATGTGAGGGACTGCGGATGGAAATGAGCTCAAAGGTAAATCTGGCACTGTTACGCTTGACCATTTGTTTATGTTTTAAGTGTTCATCACTGTGCATTGTTCCTGCCAAATAAACGATTCAATAAAATAAAAAAATAGTTAATTGATATGGTTGTTGTGCTTTCCTGTGGCTAAGTGGCTCATTAGCACCAATCGAAGCAACATTTTTACCTACCATAACTGTGTATTGTTTACCAACTGTTTAGTTGACAAAGGAGAAACACACTGTTTTGAGTAACTAAGCATACACACGTATTGGCTTTGACAAAGGAGGTTTAGAAAGTCACAGATATGTTTATATGTATAATTAAAGTGTTAAGATGTCTAGAACATTTATAAGGACTTATAAACGCACATGAAGGAAAAACCTCCAAAATGTTTTTTGGACATATCAATATCGGACATATCAATATCTGCCTCTCTGAAGAACCAGCACCTTACCGTGGTGGAGAGGTGTGTGTGTCCTGATGAACCTGGGGGCTGTGTTGTCTGGAACCTTGTGTTCCTGATAAGGTCTCCCATGGCAAATTGGTCTCAGGCAAGGGGCCAGACTAAGATTGGTTCGAAGACCTCATGAAAGACGAACTAAGAAGTGAGGATAACCGGCCCGGAGGAAGCCCGGGGTCCCCTTCTGGAGCCAGGACCAGAAGGAGGACTCGTCGGCGAGCGTCTGGTGGCCGAGCTTGCCACGGAGCCCGACTGGGCACAGCCCGAAAAGGCAACGTGGGCAACACCTCCGCTTCTCCGTCCCGCGGGCCCACCACCTACGGGAAACAGCGATGGGGTCGGGTGCGCTGCCAGAAGGGCGACAGAAGCTGGCTTTGGGGACGTGGAACGTCACCTCTCTGGGGGGGAAGGAGCCGGAGCTTGTGCGGGAGGTGGAGCGTTACCAGTTGGATCTGGTTGGGCTCACCTCTACGCACAGTGTCGGCTCTGGAACCTTACTTCTGGATAGGGGTTGGACTCTATTATTCTCCGGAGTTGCCCAAGGTGTGAGGCGCCGGGCTGGGATACTCACAAGCCTCCGGTTGGGTGCTTCTTTGTTGGAGTTAACCCCAGTGGACGAGAGGGTCGCCTCCCTACCCCTGCGGGTTATGGGGGGGAAACTCTAACTGTTTTGTGTGCTTATGCACCAAACAGCAGTTCAGAATATTCAGCCTTCTTGGAGACCCTGGAAAGAGTCCTGTATGGGATTCCTGGAGGGGACTCTTTAATCTTGCTGGGAGACTTCAACGCACATGTGGGCAATAATGGAGACACTTGGAGGGGCGTGATTGGGAGGAACGGCCCCCCTGATCTGAACCGGAGTGGTTGTTTGTTACTGGACTTCTGTGCTAGTCATGGATTGGCCATAACAAACACCATATTCGAACATAAGGATGCTCATAAGTGTACGTGGTACCAGAGCACCCTAGGCAGAAGGCCCATGATTGATTTCGTTATCGTATCATCGGACCTGAGGCTGTATGTTTTGGACATTCGGGTCGAGTGGCGGGGCAAGCCTCTGGACAGACCTGGTAAGCCCAAACGTGTAGTGCGGGTGAACAGGGAACGTCTGGAGGAGGCCCAAGTTCAGGAGGCCTTCAGCTCACACCTCCGGTGGAGCTTTTCGGGCATTCCTGTGGAGGTTTGGGACATTGAACCAAAGGGGGCGGTGTTCAAAGCCTCTATTGCCGAAGCCGCGGCGGGGAGCTGTGGTCTCAAGGTCTTAGGTGCCTCAAGGGGCGGTAACCCTCGAATCTCTTGGTGGACACCGGTGGTCAGGGAAGCCTTCCGACTGAAGAAGGAGGCCTTCAGGGATTCGTTATCCCGGGAGACTCCCGAGGCACTTGCAAGGTACCAACAGGCCCGAAGGGCAGCAGCCTCAGCCGAGGCAAAGCAGCAGGTGTGGGAGAAGTTCGGAGAAGACATGGAAAAGGACTTTCGGGTGGCACCAAAGTTGTTCTGGAAAACTGTCCGACACCTCAGGAGGGGGAAGCAGGGAACCATCCAAGCTGTGTACAGTAAGGATGGGACGTTGTTGACCTCAACTGATGGAGTGTTAGGGCGTTGGAAGGAACACTTTGAGGAACTCCTGAACCCGACAACTCCGCCCTCTATGGTAGAGGCAGAGCTGGAGTATGACGGGGGATCAACACCAATCTCCCGGGGGGAGGTCACTGAGGTAGTCAAACAACTCCACAGTGGCAAAGCCCCGGGGGTGGATGAGATTCGCCCAGAAATGCTGAAGGCTCTGGGTGTTGAGGGACTGTCATGGTTGACACGTCTCATCAACGTTGACTGGAAGTCGGAAACAGTACAGAAGGAGTGGCAGACCGGGGTGGTGGTTCCCCTTTTCAAACAGGGGGATAAGAGGGTGTGTGACAATTATAGAGGCATCACACTACACAGCCTCCCCGGGAAAGTTTACTCTAACGGCCCGTCCACACGGCGGTGTGCGTTGAAGCTTCAACGCTTCTGCCCATTCACTTTGAATGGGGTGACGTCACGCTTTGCCGAACTGCATTGTGGTTCCGTCACTTGGCTTTTTTCGCGTTGCTTCGACGGAAGCGTCAGCAAATCAAATCATATGCCAATCAAACCGCGTGCTTGTGTGTCCGGGGCGGTAGATTAATGTGATTGGTTTCAGACACGCCCACCGGCAAGCTTCAACACACGTCACCGTGTGGACGCTGTGTAAAGTACTCGAAAGGAGGGTCAGGCCGATTGTCGAACCTCAGATTGAGGAGGAACAATGCGGATTTTGTCCTAATCGTGGAACGACGGATCAGCTTTTTACTCTCGCAAGGATCCTGGAGGGGGCCTGGGAGTATGCTTATCTGGAATACATGTGTTTTGTAGATTTGGACAAGGCTGAGCTTTGCCACCGATCCTGTTTGTAATATACATGGATAGGATTTCGAGGCGTAGTTGTGGGGGAGGGGGTCTGTAGTTTGGTGGACTAAGGATTGCACCACTGCTTTTTGCAGATGATGTGGTTCTTATGGCTTCATCGGTCTGCGACCTTCAGCACTCACTGGATCGGTTCGCAACCGAGTGTGAAGCGGCTGGGATGAGGATCAGCACCTCCAAATCTGAGGCCATGGTTCTCAGCAGGAAACCGATGGACTGTCCACTCCAAGTAGGGAATGAGGCCTTACCCCAAGTGAAGGAGTTCAAGTATCTCGGGGTCTTGTTCTGGAGTGAGGGAACAATGGAGCGTTAGATGGGCCGGAGAGCGGTACTGCAGTCGCTTTACCGCACCGTTGTGATGAAAAGAGAGCTGAGCCAGAAGGCAAAGCTCTCTGTCTTCCGGGCCATTTTCGTTCCTACCCTCACCTATGGTCATGAAGGATAGGTCATGACCGAAAGAACGAGATTGCGGATACAAGCGGCTGAGATGGGTTTTCTCCGCAGGGTGGCTGGCGTCTCCCTTAGGGATAAGGTGAGAAGTTCAGTCATCCGGGAGGGACTCGGAGTTGAACTGCTCCTCCTTCGCGTCGAAAGGAGCCAGTTGAGGTGGTTCGGGCACCTAGTAAGGATGCCACCTGGGAGCCTCCCTAGGGAGGTGTTCCAGGCACGTCCAGCTGGGAAGAGACCGAGGGGTAGACCTAGGACCAGGTGGAGGGATTATATATCTTCGCTGGCCTGGGAGCGCCTTGGGATCCCCCAGTCAGAGCTGGTTGATGTGGCCAGGGAAAGGGAAGTTTGGGGCTCTCTGCTGGAACTGCTACCTCCGCGACCCGACAACGGATAAGCGGGAGAAGATGGATGGATGAATATCTGCCCTTATAAGTATAAGTAATCATTTTGACATGCACATTTTATTAGGATTTGTAATGCTTCTGTTTAATGGAGATATTACTGAGTTGTAAGACGTGGCTTTATGCTCAATACTTTAAATGAATGTACACTGATCAGAGACACATATATGCATGAATCTCAAAAGCTCCAATCCAATGCAACACATTGCTAATGTTTTTTCCCCAGTTGGAATTGATTTATATATTTATAATAAATAATATCTTGAAATAAAGTACCAATCACATTCACGTTCCTAGCTTTTTACACCCATCTCTTTAAAGGTCACCTATCATGCTAATTTTAGGCAATAGCATAAGTCTCAGATATATATACAAATATAAAAAACATGTCTATTAAGTGTTTTGGTCAAAATACCAAACAGATCACCCATTCTAGCATGCCTCATATCCCTCTATTTCTCTTCCTGTTCCAAAAGTGCTGATTCTGGGTATAAACAGGTCTCTCTTGAGAATGAGACCCTGTGTCTCAATGAGATTTTCACCTGTATAAATAAAGGCTAAATAAAAATAAAGGTTTTTATTTTTTATTTAACTGAAAACAAATAAAAAGAGGGGGCGGAGCTTATGCTGGCTCTTCCGGGACCTGGCAGATACTGTCTAAAATGCTGCGGTGATGAAACGCAAGGATTATTAGATCAAGGATTATTAGATCAAGGATTATTTCTGAAACTCAAAGCTCAAAGGCTTTCTCTCTTGCCGGTTATACCACAAGGTGAGTTCCTTTTTATTTCCTGCTTCTTCATACACATGCTCTCTCCAGTAGAGGTTAGCTCTGAGTGTAAGCGATGCTAATGTAAACACCGACCATATTACGTCTAAAACAGTCGGGCATTGTTTCTAATAGCAACGTTTCTGATAGTGCTGTGGGTCCGCCGCCGATATTACGTAATATCGGCCACAAATCTGGATCAGCTCCGTTGTATCCCCGTTTTTAGAGATTTGGGTACGGAGGAAAAGAGAGAGGGTTTTATTTCCTGACGCTGCGTGAGTTCCCTGACACACCGGAGACACATGTTTATGTAGAAAAGACATCAACAAGTGCATTTTGCATGATAGGTCCCATTTAACTGTTACCTGGTAATCAGAGGGTTTTTCTTGTTAACAGGACCGAGTTTGGGTCCGTGGTCTGCCAGATGCTCATACACTACGTTTCCCACAATGCAGTTGGCAGCCTAGAGGAAAGAAGAGGAGCAACATAATAAACACCTTCTATCGAGCAGCCGCAGCATACTGTACTTTGTGTATTTTAGTAATGTGTCTCCAAATACACTGTTCTCATGCTGACAGTGCACCTTTTGGGTCGTTAGTATACAGGTGATAAATCTAAATGACAAGTCCAGTATCTATATCAGCAGCTCCTTCTAACAGGTGTCAGGTTTGGCTCCAGCTGCCGACCATGTGCACAAACATGTCTGTATGTACAGCCTGGTCGTATCATGCTCTAGCACTGCTTCATACTTATCATTATATTATTATTAATGTCCATCAGTAGGTACCCCCATTACCTGTTCATGATGCTGGTGCATGATCTGGTGCTGTTCTTCATTCAGAGCGTCCAGTTTCTGTTTCAGCCAACCACAGCACTCCTCGATGTGCTGAGGGGTGGAGCTACAGAGAGTTTCTTTATTTTTATTATGTGACAAAAGTATTTATATATATATATATATATATATGTATATACAGTTTATATAATGTATAAAGTATATATAATATCTCCAAAGTTATGCAATCAAAGGATCATTAAGAAGCTGCTTCATCTAACAAAAGCAAAGCCGTAGGAGGTGAGCTAATCGCAGGTTTGTTTCAAATTTCAATTATCATGTCCTTTCAGCAGTTAAGAAGAAAACCTTCATACAAAGCCCTTCAGAACAATAACAATAGCAGTTTGTATTTTGTAGTCGGACCTGTGAGGCACAAAGGTCTCCAGAGCAGAGTCCATGTCCAGTGTGTTGCCATAACGACGGTAACTCAGGTCCTGAATGATCTTCAGGCTCTTCTTCCCCCCAGTCTTGCCCTGGTCTGGCTTGGTGCCTAAAAACAAATACATGTCTCTTAGATATCATCCAGATCAAATGTCTCTGTGTAAGCACGCCAGCAGCTTGTTGTCACAGAACAGCAAGCGTTGCTGCTCCTTTTTGGAGTACTTTTGACACAATAGCAGTACAAAAATGCAGAAAGGTATCAGATAAATCCATAGTGTATTTATCTGATACCTTTCTGCATCTTTTTACTGCTATTTTTTACCTTTCAGGTTACTCATCATCAATAAACAGAGATGATTGTGACATCTTAATTTGTATTAGTGAAAACACTGTTAAAATACTGCAGTGGCATTTATAAAAACTAAAGTGGACAACCAGGGCTTGATGTTAATTAGCATCAGGGCAAGTAAACATTTTATTTTGCTGATTTAATGGTTTGCCTCTAAGGATAAGTGAGCCGCTGCTTAGCATCAGACTCTCGTTTAACAAGCTATGAATAGAACAAAGATGCCGGCAACAGCACTAGAGCCAGCATACTTTTACATCTAAAGCCCCGGACACACCAAGCCGATTTTGGCCGTCGATGGATGTCAGGCCGACGATGAGCGTCCTGTCGCCCTACTCAGATTGGTGTGTCCCGCACCGTTGTGTCTTTTCGGCCATGCCAACACCTTTTTGGCCGATTGCCGATTCGACATGGCAATCGGCCAAAGGCTATCGCTCAAATAAATCACTCTGAGCCAACAGAAGGGCAAGTGTTACATAGGGATGTCACTATGTTCCTGAAGTAAATAAAGGAGTCCGATTGAGGCGTTTCAGGTAGTAATTATGACCCGTTATGACCTTCCTGACTCTATCTCTAAGCAGCCTATGATGACATGAAAGCATTGATAAAGCAAGTATCTAAATAAAAAGAGTATTTGTTGTTATGTTCAGTCCTGCTAACATTGGTAAAGGTCTGTATACAGTCATCTGGCAGATCAAATATGCCTCTATTTGAATCAATACAGTTGTTTACAGAGACATGTGTCTGAACTCTTCCTGTGTACACACTGAGTCCGCTGCTGCTGTGCTGCTGTGCTAACATGAAGGTTTGCAATAACACTGATCTCCAGCACTGACCGTTGAGCAGCAGGGTTCTGAACTGCTCCACAGCCAGGTCCACTTTGATCTGGAAGAACTCCCACAGTTTGATCTCAGGAAACAAGTCCTCCCACAACACACTGCGGATGGCCTGAGAGGAGCAAACACACACATGATCAATATTATTAGATCAGCCATTATTACTTTAAAAATTGTAACATGCTAGTGCATTTAACATTAGAAATAAATCATAATGCAAACACACATTTTCACAAGTTGTTCCAATAATGTGTTCAGTAACCGTGAAATATAGCAGCTGTGTTATTTGCTTTCATTTCATTCCTATATTTTTTAATGGACCTACATCAGTGTCAGTAGTGTGGAATCCTAATGAAATCATGCAGTCCTTGTAACATGTTCAGCAAAAAGAGTTAGCCTGAACTATCGATACATCCTTTAACAAAGGAAAGGAGATAATGCTGTCCCACAATACCTTGCAGCAGCAACATTTAAAGTGATGCAACAACTGACCGATTGTGGCCGACAAAGAAGGATCATGTAGGTTATGGTGCTTATTCAGCATTTTCCATCTCATGCCAAATCTTACGAACGTGCTTATATATTTGAACTTTCATCAATATCTTAAACCAAAAGCAGAAATATTAATATTGGGCTAATTATAGTAAAAATTGTGAAATCATGTTTCAGTGTTTACTGAGTTGGGTGGTGCTTATTAAGCTATTCTTTTTTTAATGCAACATGGTTGAATGATGATTTAAACACTATTAGATGTGTAGGCCAACAAGTAATGGATATTTTTGCATTAAAGTACTATTTATCAAAAAAGCTTCCTACAATAATTGAGATCAATTAATACCAAGTGGACAGGATGATGAGCACCATTACCTTTAAATCAAATGTTCGTATTTTACAAAACTTGGTATTTAAGTTATATATCCTTCACTGTTGTCCACCTTGAAAAAGCTAGCTAGTTTGCCACAGCAGACGAGCATCAATTTAATCTGCTGGCGCATCATAATGATGTCTCCCAAAGTTGGTCCAGTCTCTTTTCCTACATCCTGATGAATTCTCCTTTACATCTTTCCTTAACCCCATGAGATTTTTCACTGAGGATAAGGAAAAGTGGTTAGAAAAATGCATAGCACCTGTTTTGTAATCTATTCAACCACAACCTGTATAGTTCCCTTTGAGCATGATGTGGTGGCATCGTAATCAATCAGGCTTTACTCATCACTGCTCATTCATGCAACAAACAGAGGAGATGTTTTTTACACTTGAGCGGGACATTTGAACTTTAATGTGTAAAGGTTCTGTTCAATTTTTGTTAAATATATATGGCAAAGCATGAGGTAACGACTACATTATGCTCATGTGATATACAAATGTGTATCTTCTACATTACAGTCATGAACATAGTGTACTCACAGTCAGATGGCTCTCCTTGGTGATGTCAGCCGGAAGTCCTTTAGCGGCGTAGCGTCCCTCTGCTATCCTGGTGGTCAGATGCCAGATGGCTCTGTCTAAGACCCAGGCTGGGCGCAGGTGGGGAGAGTTCACTAGGTTGTACCCACACTCTGGGTGTTCTTTGATCCACACACTGTTAGAAGCTGCAAAGAAAAACAGAAACACTAACTGTCTAAGGTATTATGAGTGCTTGAAGTGCAACAATGTTGAGGATGAACCAGAAACAATACATGGTGGGAATAACTTCAATGAAGAAGAAGGGCGGTGGTGGCAACTGGAAGGTCACCAGTTCAAGTCCCGGAAAGACCAAGTGCTACCGAGGTGTCCCTGAGCAAGGCACCGTTCCCTACACTGCTCCCCGGGCGCCGTTCCGGCTCGGTTCGCTGACGGCCAGCACCGCCCATTATATATATATATTTTTAAACGGCATCATATAAAGTGCACCTATCATGCTATTTTTAGGCAATAGCATGGGTCTCAGATATATAAAAATATATAAAAAACATGTCTATGAAGTGTTTTGCTCCAAATACCAACCAGATCACCCATTCTAGCCATGCCTCATATCCCTCTACTTCACTTCCTGTTTCAAAAGTGCTGGAGGGGGCTGAGCTCATGCGGGAGATTCTACCGGCAGATACTGCCGTGATGAAACGCCATATCATGGATTATTAAGGATTATCTCTGAAACAGTATGGAGCTCAAAGGCTTTCTCTCTTGCCGGTTATACCACAAGGTGAGTTCCTTTTTATTTCCTGCTTCTTCACACACATGCTCTCCAGTACAGGTTAGCTCTGAGTGTTAGTCATTGTTTCTGATAGCAACGTTGCTGGCCCTAGGGCCGTGGGTGTAAAGCCAGCCTACATTTCCGATATTACGTCATATCGGACGCAAATCTGGATCAGCTCCGTTGTAGCCCCGTTTTTAGAGATGTGGGTATGGAGGAAAAGAGAGAGGGTTTTATTTTCTGACGCTGCGTGAGTTCCCTGACACACCGGGGACACATGTTTATGTAGAAAAGACATCAACAAGTGCATTTTGCCTGATAGGTCCCCTTTAAGTTGCGCTGACAGGCGACAGAGGTCCACAGTAAGGTCAATTGAATCTGTAAATGCAGAGGACTAAAGGCTACTGACCCTGCATGAACATCATCCCCACTAGCAACTCAAAGCCTGTTCAACCCTTTAATTGTATCATGATCCACACAAACTGGAGTATATCCAATGTCTAGGTGCTCATTTAAAATAGAATTGGAAACTGTAATATATATTACGTGAGATCTTGGACAAACCACTTATACTCTACACACTTTGAAAACAGTCTGTTTATATATATATATATATAAGTGATGGTTTATAGAGTGGCCTTGATAAAAAGCAGAGAGCATTTCCCTAGGCAGAAGCACTGTTCTGGTTTGTTCTATTTGCGGCTGTTAACCATGTAAAAAAAGAATGCACACAAATAAATGCACACAGTCACTCACCAGTATGGTTATAGACCACATCTGTAATACACAGCATGTTCCATTCATTCTTCAGCTTCTCCACCAGCACCCCCACGTCCTCCCAGCTGTAGCCCTTTCCAGCAGGGCTGAACTCTGGGTTCAGGCTCAGCTGGTCTGCCAGGGAGTAACAGGACCGGGACTCTCCCAGAGTCTGCAGAGGAGTGAAGTGGATCATGTTGTACCCTGAGAGAGAAACCCACATATTATTAATACCCCCAACAATATTTATTATGTGTCTCCTGTTTGCTATTCAAGACTTGACTGCATAAACACTATGGCTAATTCTAATGCAACCACTAAACCCTCCCCCTCCCCCTTCTACTTTGTTTGTGTGTTCCCGTGTTGGGTCCGCCACACTAGTGGGAAGTGATTAAACCCTTCAACATGAAGAGTTACAAAAAAGAAACGCCATTTAAGATTTTTGGAGTTTTATTTAAGTTATTACTTATATATTTAGTCCAAGAGATGCTGATTCTAAACCATAGGAAAAGTTACAACAGTTCCTGTTTCTGCCGGAGGCAGGGCGGGTTTGTGCCAAACTTGGCACTGTGTTTGCACCCTCCACCTGAAAGAATGAGCCTCATTCATTAATTCAGTCTGCATGGGTCTTGATTAACCAGCTGCCCTACTGTACCTGACCATGTGTCCCTCATTGAACACGATGTGTACTTACAAAATGTGCAAAAAAGATTCCATGGTATTTTTATACTTGTACCCATGTCCAGCCTAGGAAATGTTATGTATTACTAGAAAATATTTCTAACATGCTATAATCATTTTAATAATATTATAAAATATTAGAGGGCACTGTAGAGAGGACAGTACGTCCCCAAGCTCACCGCTGTACACACACACTCCACCTTAAAGAAGGCGCCTCATTCAGCTGAGTGAGACTGCACAGACTTCAGTCACAGAGTGGGAGTGGGTAGGGGTCGGTTTAGAATTGGGTCTTCGTCTCTTGTAGACACACAACACATCTGACCTCAGATATTTGAGTTCAGGATTGGCACTAAAATAACAAGCTGTTTATAGAGATGATCCTGTGACCTCTCAGTTCAGCTAGAGGCTCACAGACAATGTTAAGCAGCTTAGTTACCTATTCCCAATTTTTTTTTATAAATATAGACACACACCGGACTCCTTGGCTACTCTCAGTCTGTCCGCCCAGTCGTCTAAGTGTCCCAGACATTTGGACAGGTAGGTCTGGATGGTGATGCAGTCCAAAGGGAGGACGTGATCGTCTGCTCCAACATGAAGGACCGGGTCCACCACGATGTATCCTCCTCCAGACCGCTCTATGGCTCTGTGGGAAATAAATGTAAATAAACACACTATCTAGTAAAATACTGGAAAAAGAAGAGATGGAGTAACACTTGTAACTACCACTAAACAAGAGTACTTTTTTCTTTCTTACAATATTTTTATTGAAGTTTTCAAATAAGGACGTGACACTAACATACATAAAATAAAAATAACAAACATTACACATACATACATGGTCAGTCTAGGTGGCAGATACAGTGTAAAATCAAATGAATAGGCATGCAAATAAACATAGGTCACCCTTAAAAAAGAGATCTTTTGATCTCAAGGGGCTTTCACCTGGTTAACTAAAGGCTACAAACAAACAAACAAGGTCAGTATACAGATGATACAGGACAGAAATCACTTCAGACCATTCTTTTTCAGAGATTTCCTCTTGTAAATCAAGCCTCCAGCTTTTAAGTTTATCTTCTGAAGATGCAGGTGACTTCTCTACAAAGATTTGATAGAGCAGCGATAGCTGGCCTCTACCAACCACGTGTTTAACTGTAATGTCTTCCAACATTGAGAGAGGTGGCTGAGTAAGTGAGCGGTTTTGAGATACAGAGATAAAATGTCTTATTTGTAAAAACTTAAAGAAGTGCTTAGAAGGAATATCATACTTTTCTTGTATTTCAGTAAATGACATTCATTTTCCATCATTGTACAAATCGGTAATCCTGCTTAATCCCTTGTTCGCCCAAGTCTTAAAACCAGCATCTTCTCTACCAGGTTGATTGACTATTGCCCCATATGGGGGTGAAACATGACAGTGGGGGTGTCCCCTATATATCTTTGGACCTCATGCCAGATGTGTATAGTATTTCTTAGAAAGGTTTTTTTCCCTAGCTTCTTTGGCTCAGAAGAATAAAGATAGCTACTGAGCGATAACCCTTGAGCTGAGCATGCTTCAATCTTGACCTACGCTGGAGCTCCCTCAGGGGAGAAGTAGCACATGGCTGCTCTCAGTTGTGCTGCCCAATAGTACCAGCGTAGGTTGGGCAGTTTTAGACCCCCTCTGTCATAAGGCAATTCAAGTAGGGTAAAACGGAGCCTAGAGCGTCTATTATTCCAGATAAAGTTGGTAAATATTTTCTTACATTTTTGAAAAAATGACTCGGGTGGGGGTAAGGGGATTGATTGAAACAAATAGAGCAATTTGGGTAATGTATTCATTTTTAAGATGTTAACACGACCGATTAAGGAGATTGGCATTAAAGTCCATCTGTTAAGCGATTCTACCACAGAGTCTACAACAGGGTTATAGTTGGCTGGAACCAGATCATTCATTTCAGGTGTGATTTTTCAGGTGTGCTGCCTCTCTTGTTCATTTAGATAAAGTATTGAGGATTTATGCATATTTATTTTGTAGCCTGAAAATTCCCCAATGGTCGTAATTAGTTCCAACAGAGATGGTACAGTGTGCAACTCGATTTTGAAAGGATAACAACTGGTGACTGTTTTTAGACTTCTCTGTTTCAGTGTGTGTACTCTGTATCAATGCTCTGTAGTTGATCTGACTGAAATTGTGATTTTAAATCTCAAAACCGCTACAGTATCTGTCAGGCAGAAACTTGGGACAAGTAATTTGACTGAAACCTTAAAACTGAACTAACTGACTGCTAGGGTTAACTTTGATTTAAACATTTGTAGAATACTAAGAGCTTTATTGAGTAGGTGTAACTGTATTAAGGGTTAAACTCATAACTTTATAACTTAGGGTTTAATGTAATTGACTTAAAAGACAATAACAACTCAGGAGGGAGCCAGTCTAGATTTCCTTTTGAGGGCCACCAGCTGCAGAGTTAACTAATTAAAGGGACGTGGCCCCACAGCTGTGAGAACTCAGCAATCAGGTGTCCATTTTAGGTGGCACTTTCCTGGAGCGTCAGCTTCAGCGTCAGACATTAGAGTCCTGCGGGAGTCAAAGACTGACAAAGACATTAGAGTCCTGCGGGAGTCAAAGACTGACAAAGACATTAGAGTCCTGCGGGAGTCAAAGACTGACAAAGACATTAGAGTCCCGCGGGAGTCACGAGGGAGGCAAAGAGGAGGCAAATCCTACTTTGATTGAGCTAAGTATCGCTGGTGTTTTATTTTATTTGGTTGTTTAGCCCCTCATGCTATAATCATGTGTATTTTCTCCATTCCTGTTCATGTGTCTTCTCGCAATTATCACTGGCCCCGTGTATCTCGTAATCGATATAACCGCCCTGCTCTCGTCTATCCCACATGCTCCACTGAGATCCAACATCTAGTTTCAGGCGGCCTGTGGAACTGCCAGTCAGCTGTTCCTAAGGCTGACTTCATCTCTGGCTACGCTTCCCTGCAGTCTCTGGATTTCCTTGCTCTCACTGAGACGTGGATTACTCCATCCAACACATCCACCCCAGCAGCTCTGTCCACAGCATATTCCTTCTCCCATACACCCAGCCCCACTGGCAGAGGAGGTGGCACTGGTCTCCTGCTCTCTCCCAAATGGAGCTTTTCCCTCTTCAAGCTACCTAACTTCATTCCTTCCACCTTTGAATTCCATGCCGTCACAGTAACCCATCCTATACAATGAACCATTGTTGTTCTCTACCGTCCACCAGGCGCCTTGGGGGACTTCTTGGTGGAATTAGATCATCTCCTCTCACACATCCCTGAAACTGGTCCTCCCGCTGTACTTCTCGGAGACTTCAACCTCCAGACAGCTGACAGATAGATAGCTGAACTAACATCTCTGTTAACCGCCTTTGCTTTCTCACTGTCTACATTCCCACCAACTCATAAAGCTGGCAATGTCCTTGATCTCATATTCTCAAGGAACTGCACTACTTCTAACCTCTCTGTAAACCCACTCCACACATCCGGTCACTTCTTCATTTCATTCTCTCTACCCCTTTCCAAACATAACAAACTAATCTCTTCTCATCCTGCACCTGTCCGCCGTAACCTTCGTTCCCTCTCCCCCTCTACCTTTGCCTCATCGGTGCTCTCAGCCCTCCCTTCCTCTGATTCGTTCCATCTCCTGCCTCCAAACTCTGCTGCAGAAACTCTCCTCTCTACTCTCTCATCCTCTCTGGACTCTCTCTGTCCTCTCACATCTCGGCAGGCTCGTCAGTCCCCTCCTGCTCCCTGGCTAAATGACGCACTGCGTGCTAATAGAACCGTCCTTCGGGCAGCAGAGCGGAAACGGTGGAAATCCAAACACCATGACGACCTCCTAACCTATCAGGCTCTCCTCTCCTCTTTCTCTGCTTCGATCTCTCAGGCAAAAAGCACTTTCTTTCAAGATAAGATCCAATCTTCCTATTCCAATCAACTATTTTCCATCTTCTCCTCCCTCCTGGACCCCCCCTCCTCCCTTCTGTCAAGCGACTTTGTTAACCACTTTAAAAAAAAGGTTGATGATATTCGCTCTTCTTTTTCTGACTCACCTTTACTCACCACTGGGTCACCAGACCCTCCTTTCACCCACACACTGACCTCCTTTTCCCCTCTCTCTCCAAGTGAGGTTCTTACCCTCATTACCTCTACCACCTGTCCTCTGGACCCTATCCCTTCAAACCTCCTTCAGACTATCGCTCCTGATATTCTACCGTTTCTCACCCATTTCATCAACACTTCTCTAACTTCTGGTCACTTTCCAAACAGTCTCAAGGAGGCAAGAGTAAACCCTCTCCTAAAGAAACCCACTCTCAACCCGTCTGATGTTATAAACTACAGGCCTGTCTCTCTCCTCCCGTTCCTGTCTAAAACACTTGAACGTGCTGTCTTTAAACAACTCTCCTGTTATCTCCATCAGAACAATCTTCTGGATCCGCACCAGTCTGGTTTCAAGGCAGGTCACTCCACAGAAACTGCCCTCCTTGCTGTCACTGAGGAACTGCACACGGCTAAAGCAGCCTCCCTCTCCTCTGTCATCATCCTTTTGGACCTGTCTGCTGCATTCGACACGGTGAATCATCAGATCCTCCTTCACACTCTCCAAGAACTTGGAGCTTCAGGCTCTGCACTTTCCCTCATCACCTCATACCTCAAAGACCGCACCTACAGGGTGACTTGGAGAGGGTCGGAGTCCGACCCTTGTCAATTAACTACAGGGGTCCCTCAGGGCTCTGTTCTTGGTCCCCTCCTCTTCTCCTTGTACACAAACTCGCTCGGATCTGTCATTAGCCCGCATGGTTTTTCATACCACTGCTATGCTGACAACACCCAATTAATTCAGTCCTTTCCCCGCTCAGAGACCCAGGTCGTCGCACGCATCTCTGCTTGTCTAGCTGACATCTCTCAGTGGATGTCTGCTCATCACCTCAAGCTCAACCTTGACAAGACTGAACTGCTTTTCCTTCCGGGAAAAGATTGTCCCACTCTTGACCTAACAATCAACATCGGCACCTCAGTTGTTTCCCCGACTCAGACTGCAAGGAATCTGGGTGTGACCCTAGATAACAACCTGTCCTTCACTGCAAACATCGCTGCTACAACCCGCTGCTGCAGATACACGCTTTACAACATCAGGAGGATACGTCCCCAGCTGACCCAGAAAGCGACGCAGGTTCTGGTCCAGGCTCTCGTCATCTCACGCCTAGACTACTGCAACTCCCTCCTGGCTGATGTACCTGCATGTGCCATCCGACCTCTGCAGCTCATCCAGAATGCAGCGGCTCGTCTGGTCTTCAACCTTCCTAAATGTTCCCACACCACGCCCCTCCTCCGCTCCCTCCACTGGCTTCCGGTAACTGCTAGAATCCACTTCAAGACAATGGTACTTGCGTACCATGCTGCGAATGGATCTGGCCCTTCCTACATCCAGGACATGGTTATACCGTACACCCCAGCACGTGCACTCCGCTCTGCATCAGCCAAACAGCTCGCTGCACACTCGCTGCGAAGGGGACACAAGTTCCCATCAACAAAAATACGTGGGTTTGCTATCCTGGCTCCAAAATGGTGGAATGACCTCCCCATTGACATCAGGACAGCAGATAGCTTACACACCTTCCGGCGCAGACTGAAAACTCATCTCTTTCGACTCCACTTCGAGCAATAGAACTATTAACAAAGCACTTATATACTAATAAAGGACTGGCTTACCTAAAGCCAGTTGAGTAGCACTTGAAATGTTTTTGCTCTATGAAACCTGATGTACTTATATGATTCTGTTTTCTTCAAGTTTGTATTTTGTTGGTTGAACGCACTTATTGTAAGTCGCTTTGGATAAAAGCGTCAGCTAAATGCAATGTAATGTAATGTACAGAATACTCAAGATTTGATAAAAAAAGAACAACATCGTCCGCATAAAGTGATATTTGATGATCCAAGTCACCTACTGAGATCCCAGATATAGATGGAGAGTCTCTAATAGCCATGGAAAATGGCTCCATTGCTAACACAAACAGCAATGGGGAGAGGGGGCAGCCCTGACATGTAGATCTGTACAATGAGAAGGATGTAGAAGTAATATTATTTGTCACCACTTCAGCTGTTGGGTTCTTATATATCGTCCTGATCCATTTGAGAAAGCCTTCGCCTATTCCAAACCTCTCCAACACTTCAAACAAATACTTCCACTCAATTCGGTCGAAGGCCTTCTCTGCGTCTAAGGACAGCAGTGCCATGTTAGGTGACCCTCTTTTTTCATAAAGAATATTTAGTACCCTTCTAACATTATGAAAAGCTTTCCTTTTCTGAATAAAACCATTTTGATCATCTTTAATCATGGAAGGCAGTAGTTTATTTAGGCGTCTCGACAACGTTGCATAAAATGTTGCTATCTGTATTAAGCAGTGAGATTGGTCTATACGATGCACAGTCAGTGGGGTCCTTTCCTGGTTTTAGCATCAGAGTGATTAGTGCCCCTCTAAGAGATGGTGGCAGGTCCTCCTTTTCGTATGACTCCAACAGCATATCCAAAAGTGGTTGTAGTAGCTTATCTTGAAATTGTTTATAGATTTCTATAGGAAGCCCATCTGGACCAGCCGCCTTTCCCACCGTCATGCTGGTTATGGCTTCTGAAAGCTAGTCAGTTCCTATGTTATGGTCTAGTTTTCCTTTTGAATCAGTTGAAATAGTGGGGAAATCTAATGAACTTAGAAAATGTTCCTGTTGGCCTGAATCTTCATGTTCGGATGTATAAAGTTTTTCATAAAACATTTTAAAAGCATTATTTATTTCTGCAGGGTCATTTGTTAATTTACCATTTGTTTTAATGCTGTTGATAGCCCTTTCAGATTGCAATTTTTTAATACGCCAAGCCAATATTTTGCCCGCCTTTTCTCCCTGATCGTAGAAGCTTTGTTTTAATCTTAGTAAGCTAGCAGCTGTCTGGTTACTCGATAATTCACTATATTTAGTCCTTAGGACCAAAAGTTCTGGGGAATCTTGGGTAACAATCCTATCCTCCAAATCTTTAATACAACCCTCCAGTGAATTTAATTTGGATTTAAAGGCGTTGTTCTGCGAGCTAGAATAGCTAATAATCAGCGTAATTTCTTGACTGGCAGCAAAAACAACCAATCACAGCAGTGCTTCTCTGGCTGGCTCTGTCCAATCACAAACAAGAAGTGTTCTCCCTAAAGGAATACCCTTTCCGTCCAATGTGAAATGCTGTGGTGTTTTGTGAAATGCTGTGGTGTTTTGTGAAATGCTGTGGTGTTTTGTGAAATGCTGTGGTGTTTTGTGAAATGCTGTGGCGTTTTGTGAAATGCTGTGGTGTTTTCTGAAATGCTGTGGCGTTTTGTGAAATGCTGCGGCGTTTTCTGAAATGCTGTGGTGTCTTGCACTTCAGGGCCACCGTAACTTTCAGCACAGAGCATCGACAACAATTCAAGAAGCTAAAACATCAACTGCCTAAAGCCTGTATTTCTTCAGTTTTCATCAATACAATAATATTGCACAACTGTACGGGTCTTACCCATATCCAAAGTAGTACTGATAGGACCCAGCAATCTTGAGGTCCAGAGAGCAGAACTTATCAGAGTCATCCTTCCTCCCTGTTGGGTAGCTCCACGCCAAAACATGGAAGAGGTTTCGTTTAAACTGCTGTCCTTCAAGAGGATAGTTGGTGTGCACCATCACCCTCTTCCCCTGAAGGCTGGGAGCCAAGCGGAACTGGAGCTCGAACCCTGAGGACACAGAACATTCTGGGATGTATTGCTTTATTTCAGCACATGGTATTCATGAAAGACCAATGTCAGGACCCATTGGCTATCAGTCTGAGGATGATTAAGAGGGAAAAGTCAGGGGATTTTGGGATACCAGATATCCGGGCCCAGACTCTATCTTCTTTGTGCTTCTTATTGTTTACAGCCTGATTTGAAATGTCAAGATTCAAGAGTAGAGGGGGGAGCCCGACTATACGAAACAGAAACTGCATTCATATAACTTTTTTTGGAGATCAAAGGGGCCGTGTTCAGCTCATCTTCAGGTTCATATTAGTGTTTCCACTCTGACATGTCTCCATGCTTTAATGTTCAAAAAGCTCTTTATTCTTCTCATACTGCCTGTGCTGCAGCACCTCTTTTTACCCTCTGTCTGAAACCAGAGCCCAGTCTGCTCTGATTGGTTAGCTGGCTCTGTTGTGATTGGTCAAACGCTTAGAGTTTTTTCCGTATTTCCTTTATTTTTGCACCACCATACACCAAAGCAAATTCCTTGGATGTGTAAAACGTACTGTACCGGGCAAAAAAAAAAGATTCTGATTCAGACCATTTACATGCACAAAAACCTATATAGCACACCACAGGAAAGGGAACACCTGAAAAAGCACAACAGGGCCCCTTTAATAAAAGACAATCTCTTATGTTTAATTGCTTATAGCTGTGCCAATAATGTTTTTGTGGATTCTATAGAATTCTCTTGTCTCAACATCAGTAATGTAACATGCAAGACAATCTCTCCTTCAAACTCACACACAGATCTCTGCTGCTCTGTTCATTAACTATAATGTGGTAACTACAAGTTGTTACTGACTTCTATGTTACTAGGGGCATGTGTCACATTAAAATCCTGCTCTAAAGACACTGAATACAAAAATAAACCACTTTCTGAGTTCTTATACTAAATCCCTGCAATATCCGTTGTAAAGCTCCATTTCTTTTTCATATATTCAAATCCCGCTTTTTTCTCATTTCTATTTCTTGGCTCTTTCATGTTGTTTTTTTTCACTCAACCAAAGCATATTCTACTTGCATTCCTTCCTGATAAAAGTCCAATACCAATTCCCTGCACACTTGCTTGGGGCCATTGAACTTCTAGACCCTTACAGTGCATAACCTGAACTCACCTTAAATCCACCACCAATATGTGTTTATGTATAGTGGAACAGACGATAAACATAGATCTAGTAAATGAGTTGCTTGAAGCAGCATTACCTTGTTCCAGTCTGAACAGGGTCCTCTCTAAATTCTCCTTTTCGTTGAGCATTAGGACTCGAATTTGCTTCAGGTGTTGAGGCAACATCTTCAGAAGATCTCCCAAGTTAAACAAACCCTGGCCACCTGAAAGAGAGGAAAACAAAGGTTACTGTAGTTATAAACATTCACCATGAAGCACTTTTTCAGATCTCAGATGCTGAGATATTTTTTCCCCTTGTTTTCAGTGGGTTTTCACACATTCATTCAAAAAAGTGTAGTTTTTTCTGGTGCCTGTAACTCTAGTACAATATTTTGTTATGGTTAAAACAAGTTGGGGTTAAATGCTAATTTAAAATAACCTATTCATTTTTGAAGTTCTGTTAGGGCAATAGTTTCAGACAAGACAGACAAATGCTCGGGGGGTCTTCTTCGCTGCTTTTGGTGTATTTTGTGGCCAAAGCACAGCGCCACTTACAGGCCCGGCATATATACTACAGCGTCTCCAGCAGGTCGAGCGGTCTCGTGTGGACGGATACGTTTATTGAGCCGATTCCGTGTGGACGGAAGACTTTTTTGATATCGACCTCTGTTCGTTTTCGTCTCCGTGTGGCCGGGGCCTTAATCGCTTTGTGGTCAAGCTGCTGCTGTTGTATTTACCAAAAGGTGGAGCAAAACACACAGCTACAAACTTACTCAGGGTGGAAGAGTTTGAAATCAGACAGAGGTGGAAGAAGTACTCTTGTGTAGGAATACTCTGTTAGAAGTAGGGGTGGGCGATATTGAAAAATATAATATCACGATAGACGATATTGATCACGATATTTTTTCATGTCGGTTATTATGGTTATTTGTCAAGTTACTTAACAATACAACCACCTACAAGGTAACACAAACTAAAATAAAAAGGAGTCACAGACCAGAATACCATTTCAAGCTGGTTTTGATTCTGCAGTGAATCCCTGAATGAACAATTCAACAGGAATGTTGATATGGCTTCCTCAGTGTTCAAGTAGGTAGGCCTACACAACACAACAACTACACAACTAACGTTAACACTGGTTTCTTCACCAAGTGAAGTGCACTCTCTTGCTAAATAAAATAAAAATATTCAAGGCACAGTTTCTCAGTATAAAAATGCACTTTCTGCTTTAGGCAGCACTAGCAGTGATGTAACATCAATACACATGAAAAGGAGAGTACAACATAACTAAGTAAAACCTCAATGAGGAAAAGTCAGTGCCAAACAATTAAAATGTAAACTTTAGACTTGAAGTGCAATCAAAGACTTTAACATAACTGAACATCTGTTTAAAAAAACACAATATAAATACCTTAATGATAAAATAAATTACAAGCCAACAGAATCAATCAAGACAATAAATGAAGTGCAATACTGTCTGAATCCTGACAGCTTGGTTTTTACTAACCGTTATCAGTATGTAGTTACTTCGGCATCATTTTGAAACGTGTATTACAATTAAATCACGGTAAAATAGGTTAATTTGGTCGTAGTTTCCACCACAGTATTTACATGGATATAAGCCCCGCCCCCTCTCCAGCGCGTCCTGTTTGAGTGACAGGAGTAAACACAGCTGACAGCCGCGGTGAAACTCCAGCGGTTAGGGTGAGAATATTCGCATTGCGTCGGTTGTGAACGCAGCATAATGCAGTTCAGAAACCACTGTTCTGACGCTTTTAAAGCAACTTCGAGATGTTAACAGTATCAGGGGCACGCAGGCCATGGTAGCCGTAGGACATACAATTATTTTTCGGGGCTTCACCGCCAGACCGAGGGGCAATGACGTCATGGCCGCCGTGAAAATCCTACCCTGGTGCACTATCACGATAGATATGATATCTCTGAAAAGGCATATCGTGGAGACCTAATATCGTCTCGACGATATATATCGTCATATCGCCCACCCCTAGTTACAAGCAAGCCGCAAACTCTGGGGAAGAGCCGGGACGCCAATACGGAAGTGCCACACACTGCAGTTCATATATTGGCCGATAGGGACTGGCTGCAGAAAGGAGCAATTTCCATAGACCCCCATTACATTACATTACATTGCATTTAGCTGACGCTTTTATCCAAAGCGACTTACAATAAGTACATTCGACCAGGAAGACACAACCTTGAAGAATACAGAATCATATAAGTACATCAGGTTTCATAGAGCCAAACATTTCAAGTGCTATTCAACTGGCTATAGATAAGCCAGTCCTTTAACAGTCCCATGTTAAAATGCCCAACTTTACAGCAGAAAAAAACATGTTTCTACCCATGGATGCAATACATATTATTATGAATATAGTTAGGTTCCACCTTCATGATTATGGAACTGTGAATGAATTGTTTTCTAACACGACCCTTTTATTTATATTAGGTCTTAAAGTTTTTGCATAAATTAGGGCGTGGTCACACTGAGTGACGGCTCTGTCAAGTGACTGCTGCTGCTAGCTTCTTGTCTCTCTGATTGATTGATTGAAAAGTGTATTAACAGCTTGTATATTGGGTACAGTACAGTACAGCTCAAAACATACAATTGTTAAGGGGATGCAGACCAGAGAAAGACTTTCATCTTGTTTACATCAGGGTCCCCCATTTCCAATTCATCATATCATTTAAGACATATAAGACATATTTGACATACAGATGGCTTATTTACAATTTACATACAGGTGGTTTTTTACATACAGATTGCTTATTTACAATTTTCATTTTAGATTTCGTTCTAATACATCCTAACCGGACATTTAAGACATACCAAGTCTACAGATATACAGTTAGTAACAGAGTCTAAAATGCGAGTATATACATAGATGGGGGGGGGGGGGGGAAGCTGTCCATTGAACGACAGGTTGAGATTTGTACCATTACCGGGGCCAGTTTTGCAATGCTCTCCCCCGAAGGTGCTCTTTAAGAGAGGTTTTGAAGGTAAGTATAGTTTTACTTTCCTTTACAGTTGTGGGAAGAGTGTTCCACCTTGATGTGGCATAATTGCGAAACGTGTATTCCCCCTTTTTTGTGCCAAATCTGGGTTTCACATGATTTGTGGAGCTCCCTCTGGTGTTATGATCATGGTATTCCTTGACCTTTGGGAAGAATTTTGACATGTACATGGGTACCATAGAGGTGTAGTGGATCTTGTAGACCAGGCCCATTGCAAGTAGCTGTACTCTGTCATCTACTCTAAGCCATCTGCTACCTGCTCCGTGAAGCTACAGGGACTCTGCCTGCTCAGCTCATCCAGGGAACACAACTTGAAGCCGGCCGTGGTTGTTTGTTCTTCATGCTTATATATCGGACTATTGTGACTCGCTCTGCGGTTAAAACAGACGGTGCATGAATGCGGTTTTGCGGTAAGTGAAAATCGAGTACTTATTTATGTGTTAATGATTTTAATCGGCTACGTAATGAATGTTAAGGCTTGGTTTAATGCAGGGGTACTCACATACAAATCTTAAAGGTCCAAAATAAATGTTTCAATAAGACAAAGGTCCGTTTATTACGGTCATTCAAACTTTTAAACAATTGCAACAAGATTCTTAACACAAGGTTGCAAAAACAAAAATAATCTGTATGCAGCAGTTTTCATTGTTATTGTGTCTCATCCATTTCATCAACACTTCTCTAACTTCTGGTCACTTTCCAAACAGTCTCAAGGAGGCAAGAGTAAACCCTCTCCTAAAGAAACCCACTCTCAACCCGTCTGATGTTATAAACTACAGGCCTGTCTCTCTCCTCCCGTTCCTGTCTAAATCACTTGAACGCGCTGTCTTTAAACAACTCTCCTGTTATCTCAATCAGAACAACCTTCTGGATCCGCACCAGTCTGGTTTCAAGGCAGGTCACTCCACAGAAACTGCTCTCATTGCTGTCACGGAGGAACTGCACACTGCCAAAACTGCATCCCTCTCCTCTGTCATCATCCTGTTGGACCTGTTTGCTGCATTCGACACGGTGAATCATCAGATCCTCCTTCGCACTCTCCAAAAACTTGGAGTTTCAGGCTCTGCACTTTCCCTCCTCACCTCATACCTGAAAGACCGTACCTACAGGGTGACTTGGAGAGGGTCTGAGTCCGACCCTTGTCAATTAACTACAGGGGTCCCTCAGGGCTCTGTTCTTGGTCCCCTCCTCTTCTCCCTGTACACAAACTCGCTCGGATCAGTCATTGGCCCGCATGGTTTTTCTTACCACTGCTACGCTGATGACACCCAATTAATTCTGTCCTTTCCCCGCTCAGAGACCCAGGTCGTCGCACGCATCTCTGCTTGTCTAGCTGACATCTCTCAGTGGATGTCTGCTCATCACCTCAAACTCAACCTTGACAAGACTGAGCTGCTCTTCCTTCCGGGAAAAGATTGTCCCACTCTTGACCTAACAATCAACATCGGCACCTCAGTTGTTTCCCCGACTCAGACTGCAAGGAATCTGGGTGTGACCCTAGATAACAACCTGTCCTTCACTGCAAACATCGCTGCTACAACCCGCTGCTGCAGATACACGCTTTACAACATCAGAAAGATACGTCCCCAGCTGACTCAGAAAGCGACTCAGGTTCTGGTCCAGGCTCTCGTCATCTCACGCCTAGACTACTGCAACTCCCTCCTGGCTGGTCTACCTGCATGTGCCATCCGACCTCTGCAGCTCATCCAGAATGCAGCGGCTCGTCTGGTCTTCAACCTTCCTAAATTTTCCCACACTACTCCGCTCCTACGCTCGCTTCACTGGCTTCCGGTAACTGCTAGAATCCACTTCAAGACACTGGTACTTGCGTACCATTCTGCGAATGGATCTGGCCCTTCGTACATCCAGGACATGGTTAAACCGTACACCCCAGCCCGTGCACTACGCTCTGCATCAGCCAAACGACTCGCTGCGCCCTCGCTGCGAGGGGGACCCAAGTTCCCAACGGCGAAAACACGTGGGTTTGCTGTCCTGGCTCCAGGATGGTGGAATGAGCTCCCCATTGACATCAGGACGGCAGATAGCTTGCACATCTTCCGGCGCAAATTGAAAACTCATCTCTTTCGACTCCACTTCGAGCGATAGAACTATTAACGAAGCACTTTTATACTAATAAAGGACTGGCTTTTCTAAAGCCAGTTGAGTAGCACTTGAAATGTTTTTGCTCTAT